TTCTCTCTGGCTCGGGATGGGGGCTTAGATCACAGTGCAGGCCGGCACTCCAGAGCAGCGCTGGGGGCAACCATGCTTGGTGGGTGGGGAGTGACACTGTATTTCACAGGAGACATTAATAATAATAATGCGCAATTGGCTTCTACATTTCGCCCACAAAATACACAGTCAAACCACTTTATATCAAATGCAAAGATTATTATTATTTGTTATAGCGACTTATCATGTCATTGAGATGTCTCAAAGCGCTTCACAGGACATACTGTAAAGTGAATTGACTGTATAGTTTGTGGGCGAAACGCAGCAACCAGTTGCGCAAGCAGTGTCCCACAAACAATCGTAGATTGCGTGAACAAGTTATTCTTATTTATTTTTTTGAAGGGATTTTATTACTCTACTTACGACAGAGGCTTGTAGAGTAAGGAACGCGCCTAATGTTTCGCCCTGCCTGGGAATCAAACCTATGTCCTCTCGCTTGTGAGTCGAGTGCTCTAACCACTAAGCTACAAGACTCCATAACTCACCCCAGGCCTGGCCCCACCCTGAACTGTCTGCACGTGATCCTGAGAGCAGTTTAAAGTCCACAACGGGAGCAGTTTAAAATCCCCATGACGAAAGCAGTTTAAAGTCCCCACGCCGGGCTTAGTGCTCACCGAGTTGTGCTGACTTGCTTATAAGTTTGTAATGTCTTCATGACTGAGTCAACGGCCACAGTAACAGCCACATCAACACTGTCAGCACAATGACACTGTGATGACAGAGCAGCTCCCCCCAGCACAGGAATCCTTACATTTGATATAGGCCTGATCATGTCTTCGAGACGTCTCAAAGCTCTTCGCAGGATATACTCAGTGCGAAGCTGTGAGATTTCTCTCTCCTACGTGAAATAAATAGTGGTTAGAGCTCTCACCTCGCAAGCAAGAGGGCATGGGTTTGATTCCTGGACAGGGCAAAACGTTGAGCAAGTTTCCTCACTCCACATGCCTCTGTTTACCTAGCAGTAAGTAAGAACTTGGTTGTCAGTCGATCGGTGGATCACTTTTCTGGGGCTGATAATCTCTTTAAAAAAATAACCATTTAGTCACTTAATGCACGACTGTTTGTGGGACCCTTCTGTGTGTAATTGGCTGCTGCATTTCACCCACAAAATACACAGTCATTATACTTTACAACGTATTCTGTGAAGAGCTTTGAGATCTTTCAACGATGTGATAAGGTGCTTTATCAAATGCAAGGAATATTATTATATTATAAATACGATGAGTCAATGTAAATTATTCCTGCACTTTGTCCCCAGGAAAGCTCCTCTTATGCCTGGAAGCACCGTCTCTTCATCTTCAACCTCCGAGCACACTCAGCAGCCAGGCTGCCGTGCTCTATGACGCCTGATGGCTTTTGCGCTCACTGTTGTCTGAGGAAACCACAAGGGCCCATTATAGCTGGAGACTCTTGCCTTGCAAACAAGGAAGGAGAGAAAAAGAGAAGCAAAACCAATCGTTGCTCCATAACCTCAACCATCTGCACTAACAGCCCCCACTGACTCCCAGGCTCAGCCACCAACTGTATGCTCTGCTCTACTCGACTCTAATCCCATTCCCTACTCTCTCCCCAGCTCAACAACACATTCTCATATTGGGGGAAGAGTGAGAACCAGCACAGACACCATGGAGAAAGAGCAAGAAATGGGATTAGAGGAACGAGCTTCAGTGGAGAAGTGAGCACCAGCACAGACACGATGGGGAAAGAGCAGGAAATAGGATTAGAGTAGAGAGCTTCAGTGGGGGAGGGAGCACAAGCACAGGCACGATGGGGAGAGAGCAGGGGAATGGGGTTAGACCTGTACTGTGCTGGGAGCTGAGGGAGCAGGCGGAGGTTGGTCTAAGCGGTTGAACGCTGAGCAGATTATATACAGTCATGAACCACAGAGGAAGTGCGAAGAGCGACGGAAACCATTCTCCACCGGCACCTCCCCCCACCGCCAAAGGCCCCCGCCCACACTTCCCCTCACCCCTAAGCCCTGCTGGTCCATCCCCTCCCCCCAGCCCTGCCAGCACCTTCCCTCTCCCCCCCCAGCCCTGCCGACACTTCCCCTCCGCAGCCCACCGCCCGCATTTCCCCTCTCGCCCCAGCCTGCCGACACTTCCACTCCCCTTATCCAGTCCGCGCAGCAGCCCAGGCGGGGTATAAACAGCGTTGCAATTGCACATAAAGTGCAGATTGTAGATATTGTGCAGTGTCAGACCGAGTGCGTGGCAACTCCTATATCTAGATTGAGGTCACTAATATATGTAGGAAAATAGCAACTTGCATTTATATAGCGCAATTCATGCGTGGTAGCGTCCTGGAGTGCTTGACAGTGGTGGAGTCTGATGACTGTAAGCACAATCAAAAAAGAAGGTCTTTAGGCGGGATTTGAAGTTGGGGCGGCAGGCGGCAAGGCAGAGGGATTGAGGGAGAGAATTCCAGAGTTTCGGGGTGTAGTACCTGAAGGCACGGACACCGATGGTGAAGAGGAGGGGACGAGGGACAAACAAGAGGCCGGAGCCAGCCAAGCAGAGGCTGTGGTGGTGGAGTGGGGGTAAGCAGATCAGAGAGGTAGGGAGGTGTGAAGGCATGAAGGGATCTAAAAATGAGTGAGAGGATCTTGAAATCGATCCGTTTAATGATTGGGAGTCAGTAGAGCCTGACAAGGACTAGTGTGATGGGGGTACCACAACAAGACATGTTTCAATGTAAAAGGTTTCAAAGGGATGACAAAGGGAGGGGTGGTCCCAAGCGAGAGACTCTGAGCAAAGATGAATTTTCTGAGGTTCTAGGAACACAGGAATCAATAAACAAAAACAGACCAAGGTCCATCTAGTTCACCTTCTACCATCCTGATAGTCGCATGCTACAATAACAGAGCTGTGAATAATAATAATACTCCTTGCATTTGATACAGTGTCTTATCACGTCTTTGAGACGTCTCAAAGCGCTTCACAGAATACACTGTAAAGTGAATTGATTGTATATTTTGTGGGCAAAATGTGGCAGCCAATTGCGCACAGGAGTGTCCCACAAACAATCATGGATTGAGTGATCAAATTATTATTATGATTTTTTTTGAGGGGATTATTACCCCGGAAAAGTGATCCGATATTCGACCAACAACCTCAAAACTATATGTCATGTCTCCACTTACTCATGTACTGTATAATAATTCTTGCATTTGATGTCTTCAAGACGTCTCAAAGTGCCTTCACAGAATATATTGTAAGGTGTAGTGACTGTCAGTCAAGTGACCATATTGTTTTTGGGGGGGTTCGGAGAGGGAGGGATTATTACTCCCAAAAAAGCGATCGGTCAATCGATCTACAACCGGGTTCTAAGTAAACAGAGGGGTGTGGAGTAAGGAAACTTGCCTAAGATTTCGCCCTGCCCGGGAATCGAACCCAGGTCCTCTCGCTTGCGAGGCGAGTGCTCTAACCACTACACTACAGGACGGTGGTGTCAGTTGGGGGAGGAGGATGAGATGAAATAGGCTAAAGGGTATGGTGGGGTAGGAGATGGTGAGCTGGGGATGGTAGGACATGGTGGGAGATGGTGGGGTGGGAGATGGTGAGGTGGGGATGGTAGGACATGGTGGGAGATGGTGCGGTGGGAGATGGTGAGGTGGGGATGGTAGGACATGGTGGGAGATGGTGGGGTGGGAGATGGTGAGGTGGGGATGGTAGGACATGGTGGGAGATGGTGGGGTGGGAGATGGTGAGGTGGGGATGGTAGGACATGGTGGGAGATGGTAGGACATGGTGGGAGATGGTGAGGTGGGGATGGTAGGACATGGTGGGAGATGGTGGGGTGGGAGATGGTGAGGTGGGGATGGTAGGACATGGTGGGAGATGGTGGGGTGGGAGATGGTGAGGTGGGGATGGTAGTACATGGTGGGAGATGGTAGGGTGGGAGATGGTGGGGTGGGAGATGGTGGGGTGGGGATGGTAGGACATGGTGGGATGGTAGGGTGGGAGATGGTGAGGTGGGAGATGGTGGGGTGGGAGATGGTGGGGTGGGAGATGGCTGAATGGCTCCCTCTGGTGGCCACAGAGGGCAGGACAGCTGAGAGCCACCTGATTTATTGTAAGTGCAGGCGAGCTGACTAACGTGTGAAGCTCGAACACTAACTTCATGTGAGGTGTGAGAAACACCCATCCAGTCCGCTCGCCACCCACTACCATCACATGCGTGACAGACAGTGCAACGATGACAGCACACACGCACACACACATACACACACACACACAGTTTTAACGCCTTCAGCCCTAACCAGCATTCAATCCGGGCCATGCATTAACTCTGCTCCAGCCGCAAACACTGTCTGAATTGACCCCCACTCCTCCCCCCTAGCTCCACACACTATGTCTGAACTCAACCCCTACCCACTCCTCCGCCCCCCCCCCAGCTCCAGCCCCACCTTGTTTGTGATTGTGTTAAACACTGTTGGGGGGCAGTTTATAATAATCCTTGCATTTGATATAGCACCTTATCACGTCTTTGAGATGTCTCAAAGCGCTTCACAGGATTAAGTGAATTGACTGTATATTTAGTGGGCGAAATGCAGCAGCTAATTGCACCCAGCAGTGTCCCACAAAATGTTATGGATTGAGTGACCACATTTTTTTTTGAGGTATTATTATCCCCGGAAAGCGAGCTCCCAATCGACTAACAACCCGGTTCCTACTTACTGCTAGGTAAACAGAGGCGTGTGCTGTAAGGAAACTTGCCTAAGGTTTCGCCCTGCCCGGGATTCGATAGTGTAGCTACAGAGAAAATATTTCCTCTGGTGGGGGAATCCAGAATATTAGAGCTAGGGTCATTTCGGAGCGAAATCAGGAGGCAGTTTTTTCACCCAAAGAGCAGTGGAAATCTGGAACTCTCTCCCCCAAAAGGCTGTTGATGCTGGTGTCAAGACCGTGGTGGATAGATTAAATGTTTGTTAGGTAAGGGTGTCAAGGGATTTGGGGCAAGGGTGGTTAATTGGAGTTGAGGTACAAATCAGCCATGATCTAATGGAGCTCGAGGGGCTGAATGACCTACTCCTGTTCCTATCTTCCTAAGTTTCTCTTGCTTGCGAGGCGAACGCGCTAACCACTACACTACAGGACTATGAGTGCTACGCACTGAGCCAGGCTGATACACATACTGGAGAGTGGAGGTGGGGGGGAGAGAGGAGCAGAGGCTGGATGGACACTAGATGACTGTACAGTAATGAAACGCTGATTTACCTCAGGACTTACTGTGTTTCTCCTGCTCACACACCAGATTCTGCAGGTCAACAACATGTGTAGAAGTGCTGACGCCATAAATAGGATGAACGCTTTCTCGTGAGCCCCTGTGTGGGGAGAGAAGACATCATCAGCCAGCCAGCACGCTCAACATATTTGTACAGTGGTAGTGTCCCAGAGCGCTTGACAGTGGCGGAGCACAATAACAAACAGGGGGAAGGTGACTGTAGGCACGGTTGAAAAGGTCTTCAAGTGAGACCTGAAGATGGGAAAGGAGGGACAAGGTGGAGGGATAAGGGAAGAGAGTTCCAGAGTTTTGAGGCATAGTGGCTGAAGGCACGTCCACCGATGATGGACACGAGGGACAAGCAGGAAGCCGGAGGCGAGCGGAGGCAGCAGGTAGTGGATTGGGGAGTAGGTAGGTCAGAGAGGTAGGGGGTGTCAGGGCATGAAGGGATTTTAAGACGAGTGTGAGGATTTTGAAATCAATCTGTTTGATAATAAGGGAGTTTGGCTGGAACTGGTGGATAGGCCGGGAGGGTTTGAGGAGGTCAGACTCGCAAGATAGAAGACGCTGACAGGAGACAATGAGTGTGGCTTCCGTCTTGTCAGACAAGCTGATGGAACATTGGCGGACCTGGAGTCACAGCTGGAGAGGGGAGAAGTAGATTTATGTGTAATTCGCAATCATGTGTAGATGACATTGCCATGTTGCTCACACTATAGCCTTGCATGCTCACACAGACACACACACGCAGCCACGCACGCAAACAGTGTGTCGGGGGGGGAGGAGGGGTACAGTGAGTGTGTGGGGGAGGGGGAGAGGTACTGGGATGGTGCATGTGTGTGGGGAGGTTCAGTGATGGTGTGTGGGGAGGGGGGAGAGGTACAGTGATGGTGTGGGGGAGGGAGAGATATAGTGATGGTGTTTGTGGGGAAGGGAGAGGTACAGTAATGGTGTTTGTGGGGAAGGGAGAGGTACAGTAATGGTGTGTTTGGGGGAGGGAGAGGTACAGTAATGGTGTGTTGGGGAGGGAGAGGTACAGTAATGGTGTGTTTGGGGGAGGGAGAGGTACAGTAATGGTGTGTTTGGGGGAGGGAGAGGTACAGTAATGGTGTGTTTGGGGGAGGGAGAGGTACAGTAATGGTGTGTTTGGGGGAGGGAGAGGTACAGTAATGGTGTGTTTGGGGGAGGGAGAGGTACAGTAATGGTGTGTTTGGGGGAGGGAGAGGTACAGTAATGGTGTGTTTGGGGGAGGGAGAGGTACAGTAATGGTGTGTTTGGGGAGGTATAGTGACAATGTAGAGGCGGTGGAGGTACTCACAGTGGTTCTCGCTGGATGAGATGAAGGTGAGGAGGAGGAGAGAGGAGTTCTCGGTCAGGTTGAGAATCAGTGTCAGGAGACACAGCACCGGGTAGTGACTTATGCCGCTCGGGGAACAGCGACGGTAATGGTTCCAGTACGCAACAGCCACCAGGAACCGCGGGGCTGAGTGCAGCCCCACACACAGCCGCCACACATAGCGCTGAGGGGTCTCGCCACCAATCGCAGCACTGATTGACGGCAAGTAGTTGGGGACCTGCAGCAGAAACAGTGTAGAGGGAGCTTTACTGTGTCTCTAACCCTGACCTGGGAGTGTGAACAACAACAAATTACATTTGTATAACGCCTTTCAGATCAGGACGATGCCCCAAGGCGCTGGACAGTTAGAAATTCGTACCTGAGCTGGTGGTCGGGATCAGGAGGGTTGGAGGGTGGGGAGGGTAGGGGAAGGAGGGTGACCATAGGCAGGGTTGAAGAGGAGGGTCTTGAGACGGGTCTTGAAGGAGGTTAGGGAGGGGGCGAGGCGGAGTGATAAGGGAGAGAGGGACTGTGGGATGGAGTTCCAGAGGGTGGGGCAGAGAGGTTGAAGGCCAATGGTGGGGCGAGCAAGGCCGGGAAGGTGAAGCAGGCCGGAACCCGCTGAGCGGAGGGAGCGGACAGGTTTGTAGGGGGTTAGGAGGTCACAGAGGAGGGAGGAGCAAGGCCGTGGAGGGCTTTGAAGGTGAGGACCAGGATCTTGAACTACAGCCTCTGAGTGATGGGGTGCCAATGGAGCCGGGAGAGGATGAAGGGCAGAGAGTTGCAGAGTTTGGTGCAGAAGAGGGCATGGGCTGCAGAGTTCTGGATAATCTGCATCCTGTGAAGGGAAGAGTTGGGGGAGCTGACAAGCAGGGAGTTTGTGTAGTCAAACCTGGATGTGATGAATGTGTGTTTGAGGGCGGCCTGCGGTGAGAGACTATGGCAGAGCCGGGCAATGTTGCAGAGGTGGGAAAGGCGGAGCACAGATGTGGGGGATGAAGGACAGCTGAGGGTCGAACAGGACGCTGAGGTTCCGTATTGACTCCATGAGGCGTAGAGTGCATCCACAAAGGATCAGCGCCCTAGGTTTGGAGGCGCTGATGGGAGCCAAGCAGGAGGGCCTTGGTCTTGGTGACATTCAACTAGAGGAAGTTAGCCGTCATCCGGAACTTGATGTCCGACAGGCAATCTGTAAGGACAGCAGTGGTCCTGGAGTCGAGGTTGGAGACAGAGTTAGGTACACATGAGGAAGTTAACCTCATGTCTACGGATGATGTCACCAAGAGGAAGTATGTAAATGTTGAAAAGGAGGGGACCAAGGACAGAGCCCTGAGGGATGCCACGCGATGGTGTGGGGGCTGGAGGAGAAGTCGCTAGTGGAGACAAAGTGGAGGTTCGGTACACTGGAGGGAGCTTTACTGTGTCTCTAACGCTGACCTGGGAGTGTGGACGGACAGTGTAGAGAGAGCTTTACTGTGTCTCTAACCCTGACCTGGGAGTGTGGACGGACCGTGTAGAGGGAGCTTTACTATTTCTCTAACCCTGACCTTGAAGTGTGGACAAACAGTGTAGAGGGAGCTTTACTGTGTGTTTAATTTGTGTTGTTGCTGATCTGGGAGGTCTCTGGAGACAGCTTACCCTGCAGTGCGTGCCCGTGGTGGACTCGAAGTGAAAGAGCAAGGACCAGATGACGCAGAAGAGAAAGCCAAAGAGAGGGCACATGACGGTGCCCACAGCGAAGCTGGTGAACCTGAGCCGGAGCAGGCTGGGGTCTCTGTCCAGTGGCTGATAAACTGGCAGCATTCTGCACGTGACAACAGATTACACTCAGTTACAGCACAGCCATGCACATTCACACACACATACACCACGTGGCGGTATGGGGGGACTTAAACCCACAACCTCCTGAGTCCGGGGCGCGGGAGGTGGAGGGGGGGGTGGATATAGGAACACGAGCAGACCATTCAGCCCCTCGAGCCTGTTCCGCCATTCTATTAGATCACGGCTGATCTGTACCTCAGCTCCAATTACCCGCCTTTGCCCCATATCCCTCGATACCCTGAACTAACAAACATCTATCCAGTCTTGAAAATTTGAATGGTTCCAGCATCCATCCACAGCCTTTCGGGGGAGGGAGAGAGTTCCAGATTTCCACTGCCCTTTGGGTGAAAAACTGCCTCCTGATTTCACTCCTAAACGGCTTGGCTCTAATTTTAAGTTGATGCCCCACTTGTTCTGGATTCCCCCCCCACCAGAGGAAATAGTTTCTGTGTAGCCGCCCCATCGAATCCCTTTATCATTTTAAACACCTCAATCAGATCGCCCCTCAACCGTCTAAACTCAAGGGAACAGAGACCAAGTTTGTGCAACCTGTCCTCATTTTTTTAAAACTCTTTAATAAGCCATATTCCCTCCCCCACCCACCCCCACCCACACCCCCCACCCCAACCCCACCACCCACCCACCCACCTCCGGGCTCACCCGGCTCATTGGCTCAGGTCGAAACGGCGTTTGCCCAAACGCACACAAATGTAATGCACCGAAGGAAGAGGAGACCCTGTAGCTCGGTGGTTGGAGCGCTCGCCTCGCAAGCGAGAGGACCTGGGTTGGATTCCCGGGCGGGGCGGGGCGGGGGGCGAAACGAAACGTTGGGGGGGGGGGGGGCAAATTTCCTTACTTACTTACTTCATTCATTCACGTGCGCGTGCGCTCGCACGCGCGCCCGCACCTCTGTTTACCTAGCAGTGAGTAAGGGACCCGGTTGTTAGTCGATTGGCCGATCGCTTTCTGGGGGTAGCAATCCCCCTCTGCTGGAAAAATAATAATAATAATAATAATAAGTGGGTCACTTCAACCCGCGGCTGCTGGTGGGGACGCCGCCGCCGCGCGCCGGTGGTTGCCGCGCTTCGCCCGGCAAAAATAACACAGGTCCGTTCGCTTGGCAGCGTCATAGTAATAATAATAGTAATAATAATAGTAGTAATAATTCGCGGACCCCGCGAAGCGCTTCGGGACGTCCCGCGGGGACGCGGCCCGGGCCCTGCGCTCCCCGACGCGAGGCTTTTACCCTCGCGGGCGCGTTAAAAGATATATACAATTCTAATGAACGGAATTATAATGTAATATCATTGCGATACAAAGAAAAACCCAACAGCAGATTTTTTTTCGCCCCCAAAACAATTCAAAAAAATAAATATCGCTTTTTCAATGAAAGTTTTTAAAATAATGATCATCATCATAATAATAAACTATAAACCAACAGCGGCTTCTCCAGAGCGGAGGGAGAATTATTTTAAATTAAATAACAGAAATGGTAATAATAATAATAATAAAAAGTAAAGGGAATGAAAGGTACCGCGGCCTAGTCGGTGAGACTGAAGCCTGGGCCTCGAGTTTGGGGGCGGAGCCGAGGTGAAGCACTGCCGGAGCGGCAGCGGGTGAGCGAGTCACACACACACCAACATACAGTCACACACACACACCAACACAGTCACACACACACACCAACACAGTCACACACACACACCAACACAGTCACACACACACACCAACACAGTCACACACACACACCAACATACAGTCACACACACACACCAACATACAGTCACACACACACCAACACAGTCACACACACACACCAACATACAGTCACACACACACACCAACACAGTCACACACACACACCAACATACAGTCACACACACACATCAACACAGTCACACACACACACCAACATACAGTCACACACACACCAACACAGTCACACACACACCAACACAGTCACACACACACACCCAACATACAGTCACACACACACACACACACCAACATACAGTCACACACACACACACCCCAACATACAGTCACACACACACACCAACATACAGTCACACACACACATCAACACAGTCACACACACACACCAACATACAGTCACACACACACCACACAGTCACACACACCACCAACATACAGTCACACACACACACCAACACAGTCACACACACACACCAACATACAGTCACACACACACACACACCAACACAGTCACACACACACCAACACAGTCACACACACACCAACATACAGTCACACACACACCAACACAGTCACACACACACCAACATACAGTCACACACACACCAACACAGTCACACACACACACCAACATACAGTCACACACACACCAACACAGTCACACACACACACCAACACAGTCACACACACACACCAACATACAGTCAACACACACACCAACACAGTCACACACACACACACCAACACAGTCACATACACACACCAACACAGTCACACACACAAACACAGTCACACACACACACCAACATACAGTCACACACACACCAACATACAGTCACACACACACCAACACAGTCACACACACACACCAACATACAGTCACACACACACCAACACAGTCACACACACACCAACACAGTCACACACACACACCAACATACAGTGACACACACACACACCCAACATACAGTCACACACACACACACACACCCCAACATACAGTCACACACACCCAACATACAGTCACACACCAACACACTCACAAACACACACACCAACACAGTCACACACACACACCAACATACAGTCACACACACACACCAACATACAGTCACACACACACCAACACAGTCACACACACACCAACACAGTCACACACACACACCCAACATAGTCACACACACACACACACCAACATACAGTCACACACACACACACACCCCAACATACAGTCACACACACACACCAACAGTCACACACACACCAACATACAGTCACACACACACCAACATACAGTCACACACACACCAACATACAGTCACACACACACACCAACACAGTCACACACACACCAACATACAGTCACACACACACCAACATACAGTCACACACCAACGTACAGTCACACACACACCAACATAGTCACACACACACCAACATACAGTCACACACTAACATACAGTCACACACACACACACACACCAACATACAGTCACACACCAACACCCTCACACACACACACCCCAATATACAGTCACACACACACCAACACCCTCACACACACACACCCCAACATACAGTCACACACACACCCCAACATACAGTCACACACACCCTCACACACACACCCCAACATACAGTCACAAACCAACACCCTCACACACATACACACACCAACACCCTCACACACACACCAACAACCTCACACACACCAACACCCTCACACACACACACCAACACCCTCACACACACACCAACATACACACACCCCAACATACAGTCACAAACACACACACCAACATACAATCACACACCAACACCCCAACATAGTCACACACCAACACCCACACAGTAACACACACAGCAGCATCACACTCACATAGCATCACTCACTCAGTAACACAGTTACACACACAGCAGCATCACACTCACATAGCATCACTCACTCAGTAACACTCACACAGTAACACACAGCATCACACTCACATAGCATCACTCACTCAGTAACACACACAGCAGCATCACACTCACATAGCATCACTCACTCAGTAACACACAGTTACACACACAGCAGCATCACACTCACATAGCATCACTCACTCAGTAACACACAGTAACACACAGCAGCATCACACTCACATAGCATCACTCACTCAGTAACACACAGAGTAACACACAGCAGCATCACACTCACATAGCATCACTCACTCAGTAACACTCACACAGTAACACACACAGCAGCATCACACTCACATAGCATCACTCACTCAGTAACACACACAGTAACACACAGCAGCATCACACTCACATAGCATCACTCACTCAGTAACACTCACACAGTAACACACAGCAGCATCACACTCACATAGCATCACTCACTCAGTAACACACAGAGTAACACACAGCAGCATCACACTCACATAGCATCACTCACTCAGTAACACACACAGTAACACACAGCAGCATCACACTCACATAGCATCACTCACTCAGTAACACTCACACAGTAACACACTCACATACACTCACTCACACAAAGTAACACACGCAGCAACGCTGACCCACACCACCCACACACTCACTCACATACACCCACTCACACAGCATCAAATGTAAGGATTATTATTATCGATTATTACTCTTATTGATTATTACTGTTAACGATCGATTAACTGTTACTGTGGTGGTGTCTGTCATGTGGTCACCCGGCGAGGAAGGGGGGCGGGTACACTGTGCTCTTAACCAATCAGCTCAGTCCCTTTGTATCCGTCAATCACGTTGAGAGTTTTCCTGATTGACGGGTAATCTGACCAATAGCCTTCCCTCACACCCCGCCCTCTGACCGAGGATTTACGACGTCAACCGTCCGGCCGTTTGTGTGATTGCCGTGAGCAATAGCTGACCAATGGCGGCGCGGACGGGGCGGGACGCGCTGACCGACGGCCAATCGGGTGACGCAGCTGTCCACGACCCACGCGGGAACCACCTTCGCGCAGTGATCGACGTCGAGGTCGACCAATGGAAGTGCCGGAGCGCGTGAATTGACGGGGCCGCGGGCCAATCAGAGCGAAGCGGCGCCAGGCGTGAGGCTGAGTTGTGAGGCCTGGGTGGCGGCGGCGGCGGCAGCGACAGACACACACACGGCGATCGAGGCCTGAGATAGACACGCAGAGCAATCAGAGAGCAAGCAGTCAGCGGCCGCCAGGAGGCTCGCCTTCCCCCCCTCCCCACCCCCTCCACTCCCGCCTTCTCCACACTACAGTCCGCGGCTGGTGAGTGAAGCCTGAGGCGCTAGGCCGCACCGCGCAGCACAGCCTCGGGACCAACACAGCCTGTGGCAGGGTACCGTAGGTGGTCAGGCGGCCCCCGACCACACACATACACACACACACACACTGACAACACGCCTGACTTATTATAATAATAATTATTATTATTATTAATACTGATGGCACATCGGATTCGAGGTTCATCGCGTCGTTGAGATGTCTCAAAGCGCTTCGCAGGAATTACTGTAAAGTGTAGTGACTGTGTTTGGGGGGCGGCCAGTTGACACGCCGCAACGTCCCTGCAAACAGCCATGAGGCGAGAGAGCGACTTTATTATAGTAATAGTACTTACATTTGATACAGTGCCTTATCAAATCGTTGAAATATCTTAAAGCGCTTCATGAATATGCTGTGGAGTGACTGTGTATTTTGTGGGTGAAATGTTGCGGGACGTTATCAGCCAGGACCCTGGGAGAGAAAAACTCCCTTCTCTTTTCCCAACAACACTGCTCGGTGCTGGACCTGGACAAACACACAGTCACTAAGCGGTGCAGTGAAATCCCGCAAAGTGCTTTGAGACCTTCAACAAACTGACCGGAATCAGCCGAACCAGATTCTCGCGCATCTCCTTCGTTCACCAATTGCTTAAAAATCGCAAACTTGGTAGTGCTCGTGCCTCTCTGTGTTGTGGGGCGTTTAGCCCCAGAGTAGTTGTTTAGCAGGGCTGGGGTGTTGTCCCTTAAGATGAGGCATTAAATTAATGGAGTCCTTTGCTTATTAGTTAGAGCGCTCGCCTCGCAATCAAGAGGACCCCCGGGTTAGATTCCCTTAGGCAAGTTTCCTTACTCTGCACGCCTCTGTTTACCCAGCGGTAAGTAGAAATCGCGTTGTTAGTTGATTAGTGGGAAAACTATCCAATTGGCTGCCAATGTTTCGCCCACAATTCACTTTACAGGATATTCTGTGAAGCGCATTGAGATATCTCAACGATATAAGGCGCTATATCAAATGCAAGGATTATTATTATTAAACCATGGTTCAGATGGAAGCTACATCCTGCAGCACCATCGGAAAAGAGAAAGGAGTTTGCTCCGGAGTCCTGGCCCATAATCCCACCGATAAATTGTTAACTTTCTGACTGTGCTGTTAGGGCTGCTCAATTGCTTGATAAGTTGCTACACTTTACAGAAAACATTGTGAAAACAACAAACAACATTACATTTGTATAGCGTCTTTCACGAAGGGAGGACGTCCCAAGGTGTTGGAAAACACCACACTTTGAGACTTTGATGTGGTAAAGCTGCATTAGAGATAGGGTTTCTTGTTATTGTTGTTATTTATTACTAGCTCAAGTAATAGATTGACATTTATTGACATGGGGTCAACTTCCACATGTACACGGATGATACCCAACTCTATCTCTCTGCCTCCAGCCTTGATTCCAGGGCAATTGTAGTCCTAACAGACTGTCTGTCAGACATCAAGTCCTGGATGAGAGCCAACTTTCTACAGCTGAATGTCATCAAGACCTGATTGGCCCTCTTGATTGGCTCTCGCCAGTGCCTCCGCACCTCAGACTGGATCGTTTAACTTGTTGCCGTGTTTCACCCACAAGATACACAGTCAATCCACTTGACAGTATATCCTGTGAAGAACTTTGAGATGTCTCAACGATGTGATAAGCTTGTTTCACAGCAAATACCCAAGGTCTCCTTTGCTCCAAGGTGACATGCCTGGCAATGGAATGTCGGAATCGAGCCGGCCCCCTGTGAAGGCTCGTTCGTCCGCTTCCTGAGCAAGGGGTCTACAGAATTCCACGGCACTACTGATGACAGCCAGCCTAGCTGATGGCAGGACTTGAAAGGGCAGATCACTCACTGGGGGGCAGGGAGTCATCCCACTCAGCTCCTGTTAACCCTGCAAGCCAAACCCCAATGGGTAGGGTGGTTCTAGCTGGACAAGCAGCGGGAAAGCTTGCAATATCAACGGCAAACTATATGGTCTTATAGCTGGGTGAACTCCAGCAGTTCCTCCAACTAGACTCTGGGGCCCCCAAGCCTTAGCTCTTGCCAACCTGGCCTAATGCTTTCTGGAATTGGTAAGCAGGGAGAAAATGTGCATTCCAACAATCTTATGACTGGAATTACCATGTGTAGGAATTTCAGCTTGGTTTGACTCTTAATCATGGTGATGGGTTTCTGCATGTGTCAGACACCTGGCTGACCAAAAAAAAATTAACAGCAAGCATGTGGATGAATGGCTTGCTCTCCGTGTCCCCCTCCCCCACCCTATCTCTGTCGGTGACTTTTGGGAATTTGGATGGTTGTCGAGGTGGTTCACATAACAAGTCACAAGAAGTCGAAAGGAGAGTTTTTAAAGAAAATTATTTTTCACACGGTTGTTGGGATGAGGAATGTTCTGCCAAGTAAGGTGGTGGAGGCAGAGTCCATTGTAGGTTTCAAGGGGGAAATGGGCGAGTATATGAGAGAGAAGGTTGAAGAGGAATGGGGATTGAATCAACATCTTGCTCTAAGCAGAGTTGATGGACTGAATGACCTTCTGCACTGTAAATTTCTAAGATGTGAGTGGATCCAGCGTCCACAACCTTTTGGGGGGAAAGAGTTCCAGATTTTCACTACCCTGTGGGTGGAAAAATGCTTCCTGATTCCACTCCTAAACGACCTAGCTCTAATTTTTAGATGGTGCCCCCCGTCGTTCTGGATTCCCCCACCAGAGGAAATAGGACCTCTGTATCTACCCTATCGAATCCCTTTATTATTTTGAAAACCTCAATCAGGTTCCCCTCCTCCCTTGATGGGGGTGAGAGTAAGGCACTGAGGGATGGATTTCCAAAGTGTAGGAACGGAGAGGCTGAAGGTGGAGCGGGCCAGGTGGGGGACATGGAGCAGGCCGGAGCCCGCTGAGCGGAGGGAGTAGACAGGTCCACTGGGTTAGCAGGTCACAAGTAAGGAGGAGCAAGTCCATGGAGGGCTTTAAAGGCAAGTGGAGTAGGTGTCATGGAACCTTGCAGGCACAAATAATTTGGTTTGGTTCTTTGTGACATGTTCTCTATCCAGCAGTGTAAAGAAGCTAGCTTTCTCACCATCACTGCACTACCAGCCACCTTCACTCAGCTGGCTCTAGCCTCCTGCGTGTCCCTCGTCCTCTCCGCTCCACCATCAGCAGCTGTGCTTTCAGCTACTCCACCCTGAAACTCTAGAACGCTCCCTGAGTCCCTCTGCCTTGCCTCCTCCTTCACGTCTTCAGATCACGCCCGAAGATCTTCCTCTGATCGTGCCTACGTTCACCTCCCCCCGGCTCAGCGTTAGGCTCTGTTACTGTTGAGCATTCCGAGATGCTGCCCAGCATGAAGGGCGCTGTATAAAATGCACATTGTTGTTTATCTCATAGCTATGTAAGTCACAACACACCACAGTGACAAGGAAGAACCATGTCATTTAGATCAGAACAGAACTGAATCCACTAGTTTCAGTTTGATAGTTGGCAAACAGGAAAATGGGGCAGTAAAGAGAATTTTTTTGTTTGGATCTGGAATGTTGTGCTAGGAGTGGGTTTGAGCAGAATCCATGTTAGCTTTTAAAAAGTAACTCGCCCACACTTTGTCACTTCCCGGCTGGACTATTCCAATGCCCTGTTCAGCTCCCCAGCTCAACCATACACAAAATTCAACTAATTCAGAACTCCACGCCCGATACTCACGTGCACGACACTCTGTACCTCCATCACACCAACGTGGTTACGGTCGCCACCGCTCTCCCTCGGCTTGTTGTCAGACTTCACCATTGCGATGCTACACCGCGTAAAGGGCACTATATACATACAAGTTGTTGATGAACTAAAAAGCAGCAAACGGCAAAAGTCTGGGGGAACAGAAAGGATTACTCTTCGAAGAGCCAGCCAGAACTCGCACAATGGGCCGAATATCCGCCTTCTATGCTGTAAATGATGTTAGCCATGGAATGGTGTGCGCAGTTCAGGGGTGGGGAGGGGGGTGAGTTGGTGCTGGGCAGGAGAGGGAGGTACAGGTTGCAGGGTGTTAACATGCTGCTGCTCTCTGCTCCCCAGCCTCGTGTATTCTCGCTGATGTGAAAAGATGTTCAATAAATCGCAGTTCGGTGCCCCCACCTTCGGCAACACCAGTGGCTTCACCGGCTCCGCCTTCGGGCAAAGTAAGTGTGAGGGGGTGAGTGGAGTGGGCGGGGACAGTGTGGGGGATGGGGGGGGAACAGGGCAGAGGAGGGGGTTGGGATGGGGGAAAGTCGGAGGTGGGGGGTTGCGGAGAGGGAGGGGGTTTGGGTTGAGGTGGGTGGGGGATTGGGATGGGAGGGAGTGGAGAATGTGGGCGCAGGGCAACGAGTGGTCGGGTGACCTAACGGCCTAAACGTGTGACTGTGTTTCAGATACCGGTGCCTCAGGGTTTGGTGGATTCGGCCCAACACCAGCCGGCTTCGGTGCCACCAGCAATGCCGCGGGAGGGCTATTTGGTGCCACGCAGAGCAAACCAGGTCCGGGGAGGGCTCTGCTTCCTGTTTATACACTATTACTAACTTTGTAACTAGGAAGATGGATGTGATGTCCTTCTATGAAGTGTGAGGAGTTCAAAAGCATAAAATACCTTTTAATTGTACACACACACATAATCGCAATTACTCAAGTTGCGTATTGATTAGAGCGCTCGCCTCGCAAATGAGAGAACCCGGGTTCGATTTCCAGGCATGACGAAACCTTAGGCAAGTTTCCTCGCTCCACTTGTCTCTGTTTTATCTAGCAATAAATAGGAACCCGGTTGTTAGTTGATTGGCAAATTGCTTTTCCGGAGCTAATAATCCTTTTATTAAAAAAAAATTTTGGTCACTCAATCCGTGACTGTTTGTGGACACTACTATGAGCAATTGGCTGCCATGTTTCGCCCACAAAATCCACAGTCACTACACTTTACAGTATATTCTGCGAAGCACTTTGAGACATTTCAATGATGCTGGGTGTAGTCTTGGGGTTCCCACATTCTGTGCCACAGAGATTGGAGATGGACAGGGACATGTGAAGTAAGGTCATGGCCAGTAGCTGTTCATATCGCTGTGGAGTGACACGAGCCGCCTATAACTTACTGTGTCCTTTGCCTGTTGTCCCACAGGTGGGCTGTTCGGCTCCAGCAGTTTCGGTCAGCCAGCGACCTCCTCCACCAATGCTGGCTTCGGTTTTGGCACCCCAACCTCCAGCAGCTTGTTCGGGGCTACCAACACCGGCGGTCTCTTCTCCACACAGCCGAACAATGCCTTCACCCAGAACAAGCCCGCAGGAAGCTTTGGAAGTAAGCCAATGACTTACCAGCGATTAGCCAGGGGTAGTGAGGTGTCGGTGAAACACGCTCATCTCTGGCTCAAAGGTTGTGGGTGATTAACTTCATTGTGCAACTTAGAGCTCAGTCAGGCTTACAATCCAATACAGTGATTGGGTGGGGGTTGCGCCTTGCCAGAGGTGCCTTCCTCCAGATGAGATGTTAAACTGATGTCTCAACTGCCTGTTGAGGTGGGCGTTAGATATCACGATGAATGAGTGGTTCACTTCGTGGCTGTTTGTGGCACTGTGCTGTGGTTAAAATTGGCTGCCACTTTTGCCTACAAATAATAATGAAAATAGTTGCTAGCCAGTGATTTAGCTATGAAGCACTTTTAATGATTTGGTGTTAATGGGCGCTGTAAGAGTGGAAGATTTGTTTGTCTAGGTGTGTTTTTTGGTACGGTCGTGCCTTCAGCCTCTCTGCCCCCAACATTTGGAATTCCGTCCCACTGTCCCTTTGCCTACTTCCCTTCCTTGCCTCCATCAAGGTGCGTCTCAAGACCCCCCTCTTCAGCCACCATCCTACCCCAACCTTCCCTGTCTTCGACCCTTCCTGATCCCAACTCCCAGCTCGGGTCCAAATCCCTGACTGTCCAGCGCCTTGGGATGTCCTCCCAACGTGAAAGGCACTGTGAAATGTAATTGGTAGTGTTGGTATTGCTTTTTGCAAATCAATGAATTAATGGGAAAAGTTTTACTTTCAGTAAATCAGGTCTTACTAATCCTAAATACCATAGCCATGGACCAACTAAAGTTGACTGAAGCAAGAGCACAGCTCCTGGCACAGGGAATTATCCTCCTCTGACACTGGGTTGGCCACCTCCCTTTAGTAATGTCCTCCTGTCAGCTCCATAGGCACTATGGCACCTGGCTCATGGGAAGCCAAAATGGCCGATTTCTGATACATTGGTTAGCTGCCTACATCACTTCCTGTGCCCAGAAAGTGCTGTCACCAGTGATCTGATGACCTAGAAGTCGGCCATTTTAACTACCGGCTCACTAGCGGGGGATTGGAGCGCTGATGGAGCAAGCTCTATGCGGGAGTGGCTCTTGAATGCAGAGAATGAGCCGAGGCATTGACCAGCGAGCACGCCCTGTTGCATTACTGGCTCCCTGTCAACTATTCGAACGCACCTTTGCTTAACCTCCTACCCCTGCCCTCCACCCTCCTGATTGCAACTGCCAGCTCTGGTGCAAATCCTTGATTGTCCAGAGCCTTTGGACGTCTCCCGACGTGAAAGGCGCTGTGTAAATATCATTTGTTGTTGTTTCTGGCTGGGACTTTCTGAACCTCAATGGTGGAGGATCTGACTCAAGGGGATAAAGTGTTAGAATTAGGATGGTGAGATTATGGCCAGCATAAGGGAGATTGACAGATACTTTGGGTGTAAGGAAATTTCAGGGTGGGAAGAAAGGGAGGGAACAGATGTGCTGTGATCTCATGAACCGATGGAACAAGCTGGGCGGATTGTGTGGCCTCTTGTTGAACCTCACTGGTATATGGTGCCGTGGAGAAGAGCTTGGGTTTGGGCAGAGAGTGATCTTTACTGTCTTCAGCCTTCGGAACCAGCACCAGCGGTGGAGGCTTGTTTGGGACGACGAGTACGGCCTCCAACCCCTTCGGAGGAACGTCGGGGACGCTGTTCGGGGGAACATCCTTCACCCCTACTGCTCCCAATGGAACCACTATTAAATTCAACGTGAGTATAGACTTCACATGGTCCTGAAGATGTCCTTCAACCATGCCTCCCACTTCTCCCCAGCTCAGCTTCACCACTGTTAAACGCTCCCAGGATGCTAAAATATATGTTGTTGTTGAGTGTCTCAGTGACTGTCTTGTCTCCCCAATCCCACCCATTGCCATGTGGTTAGTGGAAATGAGGAGTGGCTGGGAGAAGTCTGGTGTATGTTCTGGTCTCAGTCTCATTCAAATTTTTGTTTGTGCGGAGCTCTGTGTTGTCAGAGACCATCCTTCAACTGAGCCATTAAACCAATTCCCATGGCACTATTGCGAAGGAGAAGGTGTCTTTTTTTCAGCACCTAAAATCCTGTCGTGTAGTGGTTACAGTTGCGAGCGAGAGGACCTAGGTTTGATTCCCGGTAGGGCAAAATATTAGGCAAGTTTCCTTACTCCACACGCCTGTTTACCTAGCAGTAAGTAGGAACTGGTTGTTAGTCGATTAGCGGATCGCATACCGGGGGGGTGGTAATCCCTTCAAAACAAAAATCTTAATAAAAAATAATAATTTGGTCACTCAATCCACAGCAGTTTGTGCGACTGTTGCGCAATTGGCTACCGCTTTTCCCACACAAAATAACATTTTACTGTATATTCTGTGAAACCCTTTGAGACATTGTGATAAGGCACTGTATCAAATGCAAGGATCGTTATAGTATTATTGTGTTCCCACAGCCCCCAACGGGGACAGATACTATGGTGAAGTCTGGGGTGAGCACCAGCATCAGCACCAAACACCAGTGCATCACCGCTATGAAGGAGTACGAGACCAAGTCTTTGGAGGTGAGAGGAAAAACCTAGCGGTGTGGACTCCATGCGAGTTGGGAATACTCCCTTCACCGCTGCAAAGTCAGAGGCACCTGAGCCAGAAACGCATTAATGTGAGCTCTCGGCTGCCTGTTCCGGTGGGGCTTAATGATCCTGTGACTTGGAAGGAGACCCTGTGTCCTGGCGATGATCATTTTCCTGCCCTCCAATAAATTAGAGATGACTTTTTGCAAGGTGCCATGCTATATGCAAAAACGCTGAACTGCTTGCAGGAAAGTCTGAGATTCTTTCCCCACCCCCCCACTGCAGGTGTGGTGGATGGGTCAGTGTGCTTCAGAGGCCTTGCCCTGTATGTAGTGCTCTTGTATGGTCGACATTGCAGGCTCCGGCCTGCTCCACATCCCCCACCCGCCCATTTCGCCTTCTACAGTCGGCCCTTCAGCCTCTGTACCCTCATTCTTTGGAACTCCCATCACACATGCCCTTCTCCTCGCTCTCTCTCTCTTTCATCCTCCATGGCCCATCTCAAAATCCTCCTCTTTAACCATGCCTTCGGTCACCCTCCTATCTGCACCGTCCCTGCCCTCCACCCCTCCTGATCCCAGCCCCCAGCTCGAATCCAAATCCCTGACTGTCCAGTGCTTTGAGACGTCCTGACATGAAAGGCGCTGTGTAAATGTAATGTGTTGTTGTTGACTGTTGGGTGATTTTTTTCAGGAGCTGCGCCTGGAGGACTACACGGCAGGCCGCAAGGGCCCGCAGACGCCCCTGGTTGGGGCGGGCGGGCTGTTCGGGGCCTCCACAGCCACCTCCAGCGCTGGGGCCAGCCTGTTCGGAGCTACTCCCCCCAACACAAGTGGAGGCTTCAACTTTGGGCAGAACAAAGCCGGCTTCGGAGCAAGTGAGTGGGATCCCCATCTCAGGCCAGAGGCCAGGGTAACCTGGCTTCTCTCTCACACTGTGAGTGACATCCCCATCACAGCGAGTGGCTAGGGTCCTGTAGCTTAATGGTTAGAGCGCTTGCCTTGCAAGCGAGAGGACTTGGGTTTGATTCCTGGGCAGGGCTTCTGTTTACCTAGCAGTAAGTAGAAACCCGGTTGTTAATTGATTGGCGGATCGCTTTTCCGGGGGTAATCCCTTCAAAAATAACTTTAAAAAAAAAAAAAAAAAAAAAATTGGTTACTCAGTCAATGCCCGTTAGTGGGACACTGCTGCGTGCAATTGGCTGCCACGTTTTTTCCCCCACAAAATACACAGTCAGAAAACCACAGAATTTACAAAACAGGAGGCGGCGATTTGCCCCATCGTGTCCATGCTGGCTTTTTGAAAGCGTTATCCAAATTAATCCCACTCCCCCACTCTTCTCATAGCCCTGCAAATGTGTGCTCCCCAAATATCTATCTACTTCTCTCTTGAAAGTTGTTATCGAATCGGTTTCCACCAACCTTTCAGGCAATGGATTCCAGATCCGAACATATCGCTGTGTGAAAAAATTTCCTCTCTGGTTCTTTTGCCAACTATTTTAAATCTGTGTCCTCTGGTTACCAACCCACCCACTAGTTTCTCCCTGTTCGCCCTATTGAATCCCCTCATAATTTTGAACGCCTCTATTAAATCTCCTCTTAATCTTCTCTGCTCCAAAGAGAATAATCCTGGCTTCAATTGTAAAGTCAATTCACTTTACAGTATATTCTGTGAAATGCTTTGAGACATCTCAAAGCTGTGATAAGACACTATATCAAATGCAAGGATTATTATATTAGGATTATGCTGGTTTCTCCCTCACACTGTGGATGCTTTAGTGAGGTCCTGTCTGCTGGCTTGTGTAAAGCTTCCTTTCAGATTTATATTGTGCGGTTTCAAATGGTTCAACTCCCAGCAATACCCCAACCCACCCTCTGGGGTCCCCAAGCCTTGACTCTTGCCAACCTGTGCCTAATACCTTCTGGAATTAGGTAAGCAGGATGCTTCCCTCTAGGGAGAGAGGGTGCATTCCATTCCGACAATCTTATCTCTGGGATTTCCATGTGTAGGTGGGATGCATGGAATTCTCAGCTTGGTTTGGAGACTCTATAAAGTACGGTGATGGGTTTCCGCATGTGTCAGACACCTGGCTGACCCCACTCCCCCCAAACGTTCTCTCTCAGTGAGCGCTTGACATCAGTGGAGCCTGAGAGAGGGTTACTGTTCCCTCACGGCCTCTGACATCGCTGCCTGTGGGCAGGAGCTAGAGATAACATGCCTTTGGGACACGCCAGCAGAGGCTATGTGGAGTTCTGTGACTGTTACAGTGAATGTCAGTCAGCTTGATTCTTTTGCCCTCATACTTCTGGTTTAGCCTGTGTGTAGTTGGCGCCGTGATCTATGGCAGTGGGTAAACAGCTGGCAGCTGGTGCTCTCCAGCTCTACTGTGATCTATGGCAGTGGGTAATCAGTTGGCAGCTGCTCTTCAGCTCTAACTTGTCTCTCTCTCGTGCTCACTCTGTCGCTCTCTCATTCTCGCATTCTCTCGCTCTCTCACATGTGCTCTCTTGCTCTCTCTCATGCAAACTATTTCGCTTTAAGATGTCTCGAAGACGTGATAAGGTGCGATATCAAATGCCAGGATTATTATTATATTACATAATCCTCACTATGAGAGAGAGAGTGAAAGTGCATGTTACTATGTCATTGTCAACACAGAGAGAGAGACCACTCCAAACCCACGTTCGTTCCCAAATGATTTGTGGGTAAGTGCAGAAAGAGCAATGGGGGTGGATGTGGAGGCGCTATGTTTAGAGACCCATTAAACCCCATGCTTTCTCTTCACTCCAAGGCGACGTGTCCCAAGACCCTCCTCTTCGACCGCGACTTTGGTCACCCTCCTAACCTACCAAACCTGCCCTCCTGATCCCAGCTCAAGTCCAAATCCCTGCTGTCCAGTGCCTTGAGACGTCCTCTGTGGCTGAGATTAGCACCTCGCCTAACCCCTCCCTCGTCGGACCTGAGCCGGCTCCTGCCTCGCAGCACGTAGATATATATCCACGTACTCGCCCACTCTGTCCACCCCCTCCCCATCACACCAGTTCTAGCCAGATTCCACTGGCCCCCTATCACCAAACCGATCGATTTCAAGATCCTCACACTCAGCTTCAAATCTCTTCACGCTCCAGCACCTCCCTACCTCTGAGACCGGCATACTCCTCAACCCACTATCCTCTGCCTCACCTGGCTCCAGCCACCTGCTTGTCCCTCATCCCTTCCGTGCCACCGTGGGTGGCCACACTTTCAGCCACTACATCCCAAAACTCTTCCTCAATCCTGCCTTGCCCCCTCCTTCAACTTCAGATCGCGCCTGAAGACCTTCTTCTTTGATTGCGCTTACGGTCACCTCCCCCCGGATCAGTGTCATGCTCCACCACTGTCAAGTGGTCTGAGATGCTACCCTGCATGAGGGATGCTGTGTAAATGCAAGTTATTGTTGGTGGTTGTGAGCAAGAGATTTTATTTACTGAAGAGCTGAGCTCCGTTCCCAGAAGGAGTGCGCATTACTCCGGACTTCACGTCCAGCTAGCTTGGCTGCTTGTCGTGGACTTCGAGTCCTCGTAGCTTTGTGGTTAGAGCACTCGCCTCACAAGCGAGAGGACCTGGGTTTGATTCCCGGTCGGGGCGAAACCTTAGGCAAGTTTCCTTACTCCGCACACCGCTCCTTTACCTAACAGTAAGTAGGAACCCGGTTGTTAGGCGATTAGTGAGTCACTATCCAGGGGGCTAATAATCCCTCCAAAAAAATAATAATTGGGTCACTCGATCCTTGATGTGACTGTCTTCCGCATTTTGCCCACATAATGCATAGTTACAGTGTATCCCGTGAAGCGCTTTGGGACGTCTCAACGGTGTCATAAGGCTCTATATCAAATGCAAGGATTATTATTATTAATATTTTAACCAAATTTCATGAGTGACTTCCTCTCATCAGACACGGGGCTGCTTTCGAAATTGGGCGTGGTGGGAACTGGGTGTGCGGCCACTCTGCAAAAAACAGGTAGGGACAACGATAAGCGGCGCTAACTGTGACTTGTGGGGAGCGGCCTCCACGGCCTTGCTCCTCCCTACCTCTGTGACCTGCTAACCCCTATCAACCTGTCCGCTCCCTCTGCTCAACAGACGCCAGCCTACTAAATGTCCCCCGTCCAGCCTGCACCACCATTGGCAGTTGGGCCTTCAGCCTCTCTGCACCCACCCTCTGAAATTCCATCCCACACTTCCTCCGCCTTGCTGCCTCCCTCCCTTACCTCCTTCATCGCACGTCTCAAGACCCTCCTCACTGATCAAGCCTTCGGTGACCTTCGTGAGCCAACCCCCCCACCACCTCATCTCCCTCCTCCCTGTCCTCCCCCCACACCCCACGTGAAATACACTGTGTAAATGTAATCTGTTGTTGTTGTTGCTGGCGATGGCTGTGAATTTAGGAAGGATTGAGAAGGCCCTACCCACTGAGTTAAGTCGCTCACTTGCCTCTGAGTGACTGTTCCAAGCTGGGGGAGGTGGGGCTTTGAGCTCACATTCCTGGGGTGAAAGAGTGACAGAAGCATCGTCCTTCGGATGACATGTTAAAGCTTTCTGTCTCAACTTGTTCAGGTAGAGGTTGAACAGTGAAGAGTGACCTGGGCATCAGAGAGCGGGAGAGTCTTCTGTTTTTTGGTTCAGCTCAGTCCTGTCGCCCCACTCTCAATAATAATAATAATAATCCTTGCATTTATATAGCGCTTTTCTCATCTTCTAGACATCTGAAAGCACTTCACAGAATATACTGTAAAGTGAATTGACTGGATATTTGTGGGTGAAACGCGGCAGCAATTTGTGCACAGCAGTATCCCACAAACAATCGTGGTTTGAGTAAATTATTATTGCATTATTTTTTCTTCTTGAGGGATTATTATCAGGCATATGGAGTACGGAAACTTGCCAGGAATCAAATCCCGGTCTCTCGCTTGCGAGGCGAGTGCTACAGAAGCTACAGGACTCCACAAACATGACTCTTCTCTGTTCCCTCCACCCCACATCCTGCACTGCCTTCCCCCTCCCCATGCACCCCCCCCCACCACCTCGTCTCCCATGCTTTCTTCCCCACTATCCTTACTCCTCCCCATCTCCTCTCCCCTCGCTCTGCCCCACCTGGAATCAAGGGTAGAGGCAGAGAGCTGGAGTTGGGTGCCATCCGTATCCGTGTGGAAGATGATCCCATGTCTGCTGATGATGTCACCAGTAGGGAGCAGGTAGATATTGAAAAGGAGAGGGCTAAGAACAGAGCCCTGAGGTACCCCATATGTGACGGTGCGGGGGCTGGAGGAGAAGCCGTTCGTGGCAACAAAGTGGAGGTAGTGGAATATGTAGGATTCGAGCCAGGCGAGGGCAGGTCTGCGAAGATTGAGATGAGAGAAAAGACAGTGTAAGAGGGTGGAATGGTCGACAGTGTCGAAGGCAGCAGAGAAATCGAGGAGTACAAGGAGGCATAGAAAGCTCTGGTTGCAGATGTTCAGAATATCGTTAGCCACTTTGACCAGGGCTGTTTCCGTGCTCAAAGCGCTTCACAGGATACCATTGTGAAGTGATTTAATTGTATATTTTGTGGAGTTTCGCCCTGCCCGGAAATCAAACCCAGGTCCTCGAGCTTGCGATGCGAGTGTTCTAACCACTGAGCTACAGGATTCCACGTTTCACAATGGCTACGTTTCATGAGCCCGACACAGTGTGGAACGGGTTAAAGTTTACCCACTCTTGCATGAACAGCACAGGAAGGTGGCAGAGGTTGAGTAAAACTGCCATTTCTTTGGACAGGTTTCTGTGTGCCATTATCTTTTACACAAGCTGTAATGTGTGTGTCCCTGACTAACCAAGGTGGGTGTCTGAGAGAGTTCAGAGTGAGTGTAGATCCTGGGTGGTGTGTGGAGGTGGAGGACTGTTCCTGTGTCGTGGACCAAGGAGGGGAGGAGGAAATGAGGATGGGGCTATTACTGGCTGTGGTTCAAGACCAAGATGTGGTTTGTTGAGATGCTGTTGGCTCTGTACTGATGGTCGGTCTGTGTTGCAGGTACTGGTGCATTCGGCACTCCTGCGGGAGGGCTCTTCGGCCCGGCTCAGCCCCAGGCGGCCACCGGACTCTTTGGCAACAAACCGTTTGGCCTGGCAACAACCACCCAGAGCACCGGCTTCAGCTTCGGCAATGCCAACCCTTTGGGACAACCCAACACCAGTAGCATGGTAAGCCACTCACTAACCAGACACTGCAGGACAAGCCAACACCCACTGCTCCCTCAGACAACTCCAAGCACACCACAGGTCTAACCCCATTCTCTGCTATCTCCCCATCATGTCTGTGCTGGTGCTCACTTCCCCCACTGAAGCTCTATATTCACTGTAACTAGCACAAGCACAGAAACATGGCACAAATGACCTCCTGCTGCGCTCTAAGGACTGGTGTTAGCTTGTTCTGACCAGGCTGCTCACAGCTCTAACAACAACTTGCATTTATATAGCGCCCTTAACGTGGGGTAGAGTCTTGGAGCTTTTGACAATGGCGGAGCCTGGACAACCAAGACAAGGGGAGAGGGAGGGGAAGCATGATCAAAAAGGAAGGGGTTTGAAGATGGGGAGGGAGGGGGCAGGGTGGTGGGATTGGGGAGAGCATTCCAGTGTTTGGGGGTATAATGGCTGAAGGCACTAAACAGTGTGTGTGGGGGATGTGTTGTAAGCTATAACCCAGCCCGCTGTTCTGTCACAGAGTTTGTTCGGCAGTGCCCCAGCCACACAGTCCGGTGGGATCTTCGGCACAAACACCAACACTAGCACGGGAACGGGGTTCGGAACCGGCGCGGGGCTGTTCGGCAACACCGCCGCTGGGTTTGGCAATGTCGGCACTGTAAGTCTGGGAGCTCGGTATGCAGTTTAGCTTTACAGGGTTCAGTGTGTGACAGGTCCAGTATGTTAACATTGTGGAGTCCTGCAGCGTAGTGATTAGAGCACTCGTCTCGCAAGCGAGAGGAACTGGGTTCGATTCCCAGGCAGGGTGAAACCTTAAACAAGTTTCCTTACTTTGAAGGAGCGGAGTTTAAACCAGTCCTTTAAAGGACTCTCCATCTCCCTTAATCACTCAGCAATTCTCCCCTATGGCCTTATTGGCAGTGCAAGGAAAGGTTTGTGGTCCAGAGAATTGAGACTATATGATCTGCCCTGATACAATGAACTAGTGAACAGGCTCAAGTGACTGAATGGCCTCCTGTTTGTGCGGTCACTGGGATGTCACTCTGCCTCTAGCCTTGATCTGGAAGTGTGGACGGACAGTGTAGAGGGAGCTTTACTGTATCTCTAATCCTGACATGGAAGTGTGGACGGACAATGTGAATGGAGTTAGCCGAGTGGGCAGTGTGTGTGAAGCGTGCGGCCCTGTTTGGTGTGTCTGTCTGAGTTTCTCTGTCTCTCTCTCCCTCTCTCTCCACAGGGCGGGCTGTTTGCTAACAAACCCGCTGGGTTTGGGACGACCACGACCAGCGCTTCTACCTTTGGCACGGCCGGTGCCGGGCTGTTCGGTAACAAACCAAACCTGACTATAGGAGCCAATACCAATCCGTCAACCTTTGGTACATATAACAGTCAGGCATTCAAAGCTGCGTTTCCCCCGCCCTCATGCAGCCCCCCACCCACTGGGAGTCTGAGCTCACAGGCCAGGCAAACGCTTCAGCGCAGTGCGGAGAGAGAGCGCTGCATTGTCAGAGACGCTGTCCTTCAGCTAAGACATTGAACCGAGGTCCTGTTAATGTGGTGCTATTAGAGAAGGGAATTTCTCTTTCTCCCCTGGTGTCCTGGGGCAGCAATCTGGCGGAGTAATCGTCCACTCACTTCACGTTGTGTGTGTAAGTTCCTGCCTTGTGCAAATTGGCTGCTACGTGTGCGCAGTCACTGCACCTGATGGCAACTCCGAGAAGCGCTTTGTGAGGTTAGAAACTCTAGGATTCTGTTTCGCTCGCCACTCTGATGTGATTGGAGGATAGCGTGTGACTGGGAAAGAGGCTTGATTGACTGTCTGTCTCCTGTGGTTTTCCCAGGGTTTGGAACAGCCGCGGGAACCGGGGGCCTATTTGGGAACAAGCCCACCACCGGCGTGCTGGGAGCTGGTCTGGGAGCAGGATTCGGAGCAGGTGGGTTCATTCAGAAGAGGGAGGGGGGTGTGGCTAGAGCGAGGGAGGGGGGGGCGCTAGAGCGAGGGAGGGTGGAGCTAGAGCGAGGGAGGGTGGGGGCTAGAGCGAGGGAGGGTGGGGGGTTAGAGCGAGGGGTGCGGGCTAGAGCGAGGGAGAGGGGGCTAGAGCGGGGGGGGCTAGAACAAGGGGGGGGGGCTAGAGCGATGGAGGGGGGGCTAGAGCGAGGGAGGGTGGGGGGCTAGAGCGAGGGAGTGGGGGGCGTGGTGGAGGGAGGGGGCGTGGTGGAGGGAGGGAAGTGGGGTGGTGGAGGGTGGCTAGGCTGTACGTTTGTGATTATGTGAAGTGAATGATCAGGAAGGTCGAGATGGATTTGAGGTAACTGCAAGATGTTTGTCAATCTGTGAGCCCAGGCCACGATCCAGCCACGTGGAGTCCTGTAGCTTTGTGGTTAGAGCACTCGCCTCACAAGCAAGAGGACCTGGGTTCAATTCCCGGGCAGGGCGAAACATTGGTTTACCTAGCAGTAAGTAGGAACCCAGTTGTTAGTAATTGGTGAATTGCCTTTCTGGGGTTAGTAATCCCTCCAAATTTTTTTTTACGGTAATAATATGGTCACTCAATCCATGATTCTTTGTGGGACACTGTTGTGCAGAATTGGCTGCCACGTTTCGCCCATAAAATATAGTTAATTCACTTTACAGTGTGTTCTGTGAAGCGCTTTGGGACGTCCTCCCGACGTGAAAAGCGCTATATCAAATGCAAGGATTATTATTATTATTATCCTGTGAAGCGCTTTGAGACGTCTCAAAGACATGATAAGGCGCTACATCAAAAGCAAGGATTTTTTAATTTTTTTTTGTCAAATCTCCCATTGGTTTTCCTTTGTTAACAGTGTTTTCTCTGCTCTCTCCCCAGGTGCTGGGCAGACGTCCCTGTTTGGCAACACTCAGCCTAAGTTGGGCGCAGGCCTGGGAGCGGGGGCGTTTGGAACAACCCCATTCAACACAGCGGGTACCGCGGTGGGCTTTGGGGCTCCCCAGGCCGCTATCTGTAAGTCACCTGTATATCACACGCCAGTCTAGAGAGAGGAGGGTCAGACTGAGCACACGTGTGCAACTTGTCTTGAGTTTAGAAATGTGGGTCTGTTACTGGCTCACTTACTCATTCGCTCACTCTCCAGGGCTGTGTGTGGGTCTCTCTCTCTCTCTCTCTCTCTCCCCCCCCCCACCCCCCAGGGATGTGTGTGGGACTTTGCTTTCTCTCTCTGATATTTTGGTGCTATATCAAGTGCTCTGGGACGCTGAAGGGTGCAATAAATGCAAGTTGTTGTTGTATGTGGTGTGAGGGTGGTTGTAACATAACATGTAGGAGTAGGACTAGGCCATTCGGCCCTTCGAGCCTGCCCCGCCATTCAATCATGGCTGATCTTCTATCTAACTCCAGCTAATAACCTGACCCTGCCTTATCCCCATATCTCTTAATCCCTTTTGCAATACGATATCCATCTCAGTCAGTTGTATAATGTTTGTGGGGGGTTGGGACTGTTCTGCCACAGTAATTTGAGCTTCTCTCTCTCCCCCCCCCCCCCCCCCACCTTCTCTCCCCCCCCCACCTTCTCTCCCCGCCCCCACCTTCGCTCTCCCCCCCTCCCCCTTCTCTCTTCCCCCCCTCCCCCTTCTCTCTTCCCCCCTGCCCCCCCCACACCACCTCGGGCAGGCCTGACGGACCCTGCAGCCTCGGCCACACAGCAGGCTGTGCTCCAGCAGCAGCTTAGCGCTTTGGCCTACACACCGTTCGGGGACTCCCCACTCTTCAGGAATCCCATGGTTGATCCCAAGAAGAAGGAGGAGGTAACGACTCAGGAGGGTCTGGGCCCAGGGCACTGTGTGTGTGTGTATATGTGTGTGTGTGGTGAGGATTGTGAGTGTGTGTGTGTGAGTGTGTGTGGGGGGTAGTGAGGGTTGTGTGTGATGGGGTGAGGAATGTATGTGTGTGGGGGGGGATGAGGATTGTGTATGTGTGTGGGGGGTGGGGGGAGAATTGCGTGTGGGTGGGGTAGGATTTTGTGTGGTGGGCGGGTGGTGTGGGGGTGGTGAGGATTGTAAATGGTGGTGGATTGAATAATACAAAATTACATTTACACTGCGCTTTTCACGTTGGGAGGACGTCCCAAGGCGCTGGACAGTCAGGTATTTGGACCCGAGCTGGGGATTGGGATCAGGGAGGGTCTGCCAGAGGCACGGTCGAAGAGTAGGGACTTCAGACTGGGTTTGGAGGAGGGAGAAAGCGAGCCGAAGGGAATGTGGGACGGAGTTCCAAAGAGTGGGGCAGAGAGGCTGAAGGCCTGACCGCTGATGGTGGGACGGGCCTGGCGAGGGACATGGAGAAGACCGGAGCCTGCTGAACGGAGGGCACGGATAGGTTGATGTGGAGTTAGCAGGCCACAGAGGTAGGGAGGAGCAAGGCCGTGGAGGACCTTGCATATTGTACCCTGAAACCTGCTTATTGGGGACTGAAACGAGTGCTCAGAATGTGTGACTAATGTCAAACGCTCTCTCTACCACCCCCCTCCCACACCAGCGACTGAAGCCCACGAACCCCGCAGCACAGAAAGCCTTGACGACGCCCACACATTACAAGTTGACGCCAAGGCCAGCCACCAGGGTACGGCTGAAAGCCCTGCAGGCCAGCGGCTCCGTCAAGGCTCATCTCTTCGATGGACTGGATGATGATGAGCCAGCGGCCCTCGCAAACGGTACCTTCTTACCCAGGTAACAGCTCCCTGCTTGCTCCCCATCGTGTCTGTGCTGGTGCTGACCACCCCCCCCCCCCCCCCCTCCTTCCACTGGAGCTCTTTCTGCTAATCCCATTCCTTGCTCTTCCCATTAAGTCTGTGCTGGTGCTCACTCCCCACTGGAGTTCCCTACCCCACTGGAGTTCCCTAACCCTACTCTAATACCATTCCCTACTCTCCCCATTGTATCTGTGATAGGCAGCCAACTCCTGTTTCGATACAGCATGACTGAAATACACCAACACATTACATTTACATAGCGCCTTTCACATCGAGAGGATGTCCCAAGTCGCTGGACAGTCAGGGATTTGGAACTGAGCTTGAGGTTAGGAACAAGAGGGGTGAAGGGTGGGGCTAGGAGGGTGGCCAAAGGTCCAGTCAAATAATAAGGTCTCGAGACGTGCTCTGAAGGACGCAAGCCAGGGAGCAAGGCGAAGGGACTGGGATGGAGTTCCAAAGAGAGGGGGCAGAGTGGTTGAAGACCCGACTGCTGATGGTGGGCTGGGGACGTTGAACAGGCCGGAGCCTGCCGAGCTGAGGGAACGGACAGGTCAGTATGGTGATGCAGGTCACATAGGTAGGAAGGAGCAAGGCTGGGGAGGGCTTTGAAGGTGAGGACGAGGATTTAAGATCAATCCTGTGGAGGATGGGGAGCCAGTGGAGCCGAGCGAGGGTGGGGATGATAAGCTCACAGAGGACATGAGCTGCAGAGTTCTGGATGATCTGCAGCTTGTGGAGGGAACAGTTGGGAAGGCCGACAAGCAGAGAGTTGGCGTAGTCAAGCCTGGATGTGATGAATGCATCAATGAGGGTCTCAGTGGCCTGAGGGAAGAGGCAGTGGCGGAGCGATGTTGCGGATATGAGAGAAGGCAGAGCGTGTCATGGCACAGATCTAAGTCCTCGGAAACGATGCTGTGCCTGATAGCAGGGTAGAGCTGTCTGGTGTATTGGTGCGGGAGAGTGGCTCAGGCTAACGTGTTTCTCTGCTACAGGAAGAGCATCAAAAAGCTGATGCTGAAAACGCCCTCCAGCTCTCTGACCTTCTCCCCTACCGTCCTCAAAGAGACTGAGGAGCTGCCTTCTGCCTCTGAGTACCCAGAGAATGGGGAGCTGTGAGTAATGTTCCTCGGTGTGGTGTTAGTGGCTCTGAACCGCTTGCGCTTGCAGCCAACTTGGATGGGAGGGGGTGGGGTGGGCTTGCACCTCTCTGATGCTCCAGATTGATGATAATAATCTTCCAGACAAACGGAAGCCATGCTTATGTGGAGACTCTCAGTGATGTGACTTGTAGACTTTGATGGTTCTGGTTGTCAGACACCAGGTGTTGCCGGGCTTCATTGGGGCATTTTCCAAGTTTGTGGAGTCCTGTAGCTCAGTGGTAAGAGCGCTCGCCTTGCAAGCGAGAGGACTCTGGGTTCCATTCCCGGGCAGGGCAAAACCTTAGGCAAGTATCTTTACTCAACATATCTCTGTTTACCGAGCAGTATGCAGGAACCCCGTTGTTAGTTGATTGGCAGATGGCTTTTCATAGTGGGGGTAATCCTCCAAAATAGTAATAATTTGGTCACTCACTCCGCGACTGTTTGTGGGACGCTGCTTTGCCCAATTGGTTGCCACGTTTTGACCATAAAATACAGTCATTCCACCGTATATTGTGTGAAGTGATTTGAGGCGTCTCAAAGACGTGATAAGGCGCTATATCAACTGCAAGGATTATTATATTATTTTTGTTAGGTCAGGGTATCAAGGGATGGGGGAAAACCGGGTAATTGTAGTTGAGGTACAGATCAGCCGAGATCTAATAGAATGGGGGAACAAGCTCGAGGTGCTGAATGGCCTCCTCCTGTTCCTATATTATTATTCTCACTATAGTGATGCCTGTGTTTCTCTCCCTCCCAGGGAGCACGAGGGCAGGAGTGAGCTGGAACGGGAGGAGGAGAATCCCGAGGTGACCAAGTTCTACACTAACTGTATCGTAAAGCCCATCCCGCAGACCCCCGAGGGGTTGATCGGCCACAAGACCCTGGGCAGCACCATGGAGGACACCATCTCCGCCATGAACCTGCGCAACCTGAGGAACGGAAACCTGGAGGGCAGCAGTGAGGACGCCTCCTTCATTGAGGGCTCCTTGCACGAGGACCCCGAGGAGGAGGAGGAGAGAGCACCCCCACATCCCGCCGGTGAGGGGGGGGGCAGTGTACCCAAGGCGAGGGGGGGTGGGCAGTATACCTGGCCGGGGGTGAGGTGGAGACGGGCAGTGTACCTAGCCAGGGGGGACCGGGCAGTGGGGTGAGCAGTGTACCTGGTGGAGGGTTGCTGAGCAGTGTAACAGTGCACTTGGGGGAGCTGAGCACTGTGCCTGGAAGTGGGGGTGGGTAATGTACCTGGGGTGGGAGGAAAGATGTTGTGGAATCCTGTAGCTCAGTTGTTAAGAGCACTTGCCTCGCAAGTGAGAGGACCCAGGTTCAATTCCCGGTCAGGTCAGGGTGAAACCTGAGGCAAGTTTCCTTACTCCACCTCTGTTTACCTTGCAGTAAGTAGGAACCGAGGTTGTTAAGTCAATTGACAGATCGCTTTTCCAGGGGTAATTATCCCTTCAAAAATAATAATAATTTGGTCACTTAATCCTCAACTGTATGTGGGACATTGCTGTGCACTATTGGCTGCCACGCTTCGCCCACAAAATAGTCAATTCATTTTGCAGTATATTCTGTGAAGTACTTTGAGACGTCTTGATGTCTTGATATCAAATGCAAGGATTGTTGTTGTTATAGTCAGTGTGAGGTGGAACCATAACCTGTAGCCTGTTGTTCGCTTCCCAGGCATTGTGCTGACCAGAGTTGGCTACTACACCCTCCCCTCAATGGAGGAGTTGGCCCGTACCACCACCGAAAGCGGGGAATGTATCGTGGAGAACTTCACCATCGGACGCAAAGGTCAGTGAGGGAGAGGAGAAGGGGCTGCAGACAGTTGAGTCCCACACCCTACTAGTTAGAGCACTCACCTCGTAAGCGAGAGGACCTGGGTTCGATTCGTGGACAGGGCGAAACGTTGGGCAAGTTTCCTTACTCCACACGTTTCTCTGTTTACCTAGTAGTAAGTAGGAACCTGGTTGTTAGGCGATTGGCGGATCACTTTTCCGGGGATAATAATCCCTTCAAAGAAATATTTTGTTTTAAAAATAATAATAATTTGGTCACTCAATCCATGACTTGTTTTGTTGGACACTGCTGTGCGTAATTGGCTGCTGGTTTCATCCACAAAATAGTCAATTCACTTTACAGTATTTTCTGTGAAGCACGTTGATATGTCTCGATATATCAAATGCAAGGATTATTGTTCGATTAATCTGTTTATTATTTACATTGTGTGCAAAACAATCATTTGACACATCAGGGGGATGGTTCGGAATGACTCAAAGATTCACTTTGAAGTGTAGTGACTGTGTTGTGGCTGGCACCTTTGCCCACTTGATGGTTTTTACCTGTGAAGTTTTTAGCCTGTGAGCCATGCCAAGGCGCTGTACGTTCTATTTCCTCTGGTAAGGGAATCCAGAATAATTCTTTAAAAAATTCGCTGCAGGCTACGGCTCTATCTACTTCCCGGGCGTGGTGAACCTGAGCAACATGAACCTGGACGAGATTGTACACATCCGCAGGAAGGAGGTCATCGTGTACCTGGACGATGAGAGGAAACCGCCAGCCAGTGAGGGTCTGAACAGGTAACAGCAGCACTGTGAGAGGCTGTGGACACTCACTGTCCCCCTTTACCTCTGCCCCCTCGCATTTCCTATCCCGTTCCCCCCCCCCCCTCTCGCGCTCCCCCTCTCCCCTCCCTCTCCCCTCTCTTTCCCCTCTGCTACCCCAGCCATGGGCAGTGTGGGTGGGTGGGGGGGCAGTGGGTGGGTGGGGGGCGCAGTGGGTGGGTGGGGGGGCGCAGTGGGTGGGTGGGGGGGCGCAGTGGGTGGGTGGGGGGCGCAGTGGGTGGGTGGGGGGCGCAGTGGGTGTGGGGGGGGGGGGGGCGCAGCGGGCGTGTGGGGGGGCAGTGTGGGGGGCGACGGGCGCCGCGGGGGGTGGGGCGCCGCGGGCATGCGGGGGGGTGGATAGTGTAGTAAACGTGTGTTGTCCTCCTATGGCAAGGCGAGCTGAGGTGACCCTGGATGGAGTGTGGCCGACAGATAAAACCACGCGCAGTCCCATTAAATCCCCTGAACGGCTGCTGGAAATGGGGTACGAGGAGCGGCTGGAGAACGCCTCCCGCAAGCAGGGAGCTCGCTTCCTGGAATATCGCTCTGAGACTGGCTCCTGGGTCTTTGAGGTCAGCAAATCCCCCCCCCCCCCCCCTTGCTCTCTCTCTCTGTCTCCCTCACACATACTCATTCTGTCTCACACTCATTCTCTCATACACACGTACACTCTCACACACGCACACAACTGTGTTTGTGCACTGACGCTGCCCCTGTTACAGGTTGCCCACTTCAGTAAGTACGGACTGAAGGAATCTGACGAGGAGGACGAGGAGCTGCCGTCCAAAGCTGAGACCAAGAAGCTGAAAACAGCGTCTCTTCCCAGCCAACAGGCCCAGCAAGCGGCCCCGAGCCCCAAGCCTGCCCCCACCTCACAGGTATCCCCCGCTTCCCCCCCACCACTGGCGGATCAATTCCCACCACTGGTGACTGAGGCTGGAGCAGTAGGATTATTCAAAAGGAACTGGATACACAGCCAAACAGGAGGGGAGATACGGGGTGTTCACAAAGTGCTGTTACCCCCAGCGCACTGACCAACAACTGAACCGTGGGGAAGAATGATCATTGTTTTTAGAAGTACTTCATTGTATTCAGTACAAGAGTTTAACTGTATTTAGACGTCTGGAGTATGTGTGTATGTGAGTGAGTGTGTGTCGTCACCATGTGCGGTGTGACATCTTCCGTAACAAGGGAGGGGGTAACAGGACTTTGTGGACACCCTGTACATAGCTGTGAGGTAGATTTAATAGAGAGAGGATTATAACAGGATCGGCGGCACAGGCAACAACTTTTATGTAGCGCCCCTCATGCAGAGAGCATCATCATCCGAGAGCGCTTGATCATGATGGAGCATGACATGGAGGGTCTCTGCTGAAGGCTGTCTCTCTCCACCCCCTCCCCCCACCCCAGAGTCCCTCGCTGGAGCGTGTGGCTCGTGTGGCAGAGCTGGACAGCGATATGACAGACATCACACAGGAGCCCCTCCCTGACTGCTACCTGGAGGAGGACATAACAGAGGAGCAGGAGCCAGTGTCGGCCTCCAGCAACATCGCTTCTACCCTGGGCATCAACCCCCACACACTGCAGGTCAGTGCGCCCCCCACACATACACACCACACATGCACACACACCCTGGGCATCAACCCCCCTCTGCAGTCAGTGCCACCCCACCCCTCACACACACACGCACATACCTTCAGCTGCAGATCAGTCCCCCACCCTCATACACACTCACACACCCCACCCCCACTGCACGCTAGTTGCCTCCTTTGAAACCTGCCACTGTGAAACTCAGTTATTGGAGACTGTGATGGGTTCCCGCTTGTGTTGGACCCCCCCCCCGGCCTACCTTACCCCATGGAGTTGGAGTAAGCCAGTGAGTGACCCTGGCCTCTGGTTACCAAGCGGTCCCTGTGTTTCTCTCCAGATAATGAAGGCCTCCCTGTTTGCTGAGGACGAGGATATGGACGGCATCGTGGAGCGGCGCTTCACGAGGTTTCCTCCCGTCCCCGACACAAGCTTGGAGCTGGGATCACCACACCGGCTGTGCCCGGGTCCTCGCGGCAGGACCTCAGGTAACAACAAACCTGCATTTATATATTGTCCTTCAGGCGGGGTAGCATCCCGGAGCGCTTGACTGTGACAAAGTCTGACAACGAGCCAGGGGGAGAGGGAGTGGGGAAGGTGACTGTAAGCACGATCAAAAAGGAGGGTCTTCAGGTGGGATTTGAAGGTAAGGAGGGAGGGAGCGGGTGAGGTGGAGGGATTGAGGGAGTGATTTCCAGAGTTTCGGTACATAGTTGGCTGAAGGTACAATGGTGGAACAGAGGGGACGTATATATATTTATATATAACAGTACCTTTATGCACACCTCTGCTTCTGCACCTTGTCGGAGGCTTTCTTTCCATCTGTTCATCCCGCTGTCTGTCGAGCTCCTCCTATTGGGGTTGGGCTGCAGTGCAGGCTGACCCTCCAGTACAATGCCGGGGGAGGAGCACTGTCTTGCTGGAGGTAATCGTCCTTTGGATGATAATTGGTGATAATTGGGGTGTTTAAAAGAATAGGGCGGCTACAGAGAAACTACTTCCTCTGGTGGGGGGAATCCAGAACGGGAGGGCATCATCTTAAAGTTAGAGCCAGGCCATTTAGGAGTGAAATCAGGAGGCACTTTCTCATACAAAGGTTAGTGGAAATCTGGAACTCTCTCCCTCAAAAGGCTGTGGCTGGATGCTGGATCCATTCAAATTTTCAAGACTGAGGTGGATAGACGTTTGTTAGATCAGCTTATCAAGGGATATGGACAAAGGCGGGATATTGGAGTTGCGGTACAGATCAGCCGTGATCTAATAGAATGGCAGAACAGGCTCGAGGGGCTGAATGGTCCACTCCTGGTCCTACGCTTCTATGAATCGCAGTTCCTTTTCTGCTTGTTCAGGTGGATGTTGAAGGATCCAGTGAGATTCTCCTGGTAAACAAGCCTAGGATTAAATTGACCTATCTCATGGCTGTGGTGTGGCACCTTGCTGTGGCCGCAAAAACAGTGGTACAGGTGTCAAATGTGAAATTGATAACCTGGTCAGCTCCACTCACTAAGCCCTGCAGTAGCCAGAGCTTGTGGGTTTGAGTCGTAGTGATTAGAACACTCGCTTCGCAAGCGAGAGGACCCGGGTTCGATTCCCAGGCAGAGCAAAACCTTAGACAAGTTTCCCTTACACACGCACACTACTCTGTTTGCGTAGCAGTAAGTAGGATCGGCGGATCACTTTCCGGGGTAATAATCCTTCTAAAAATACTCAATCCATGACTGTTTGTGGGACACACCTGTGCGCAATTGGCTGCCACGTTTTGGCCACAACATACACAGTCACTACACTTTACAGAATATCCTGTTGAGACGTCTCAAAATTAAATTCTATGTCAAATGCAAGATTTATTATTATTATTAATCTTATTGTTATCACTCTGGAGGGAATGACCTCGCTCACCACGTACTCTCGACTCTGGTTACAGTGGGCGGTTTGTTGCAATCTAAATTCACCAGCTCCTCCCTGCTGCTGTCGGGGGCCCGGCTCCAGGATTCCCCTGAGGCCCCCTCTCCTCGGGCCTGGTTGGTACCCACGCCGCTGCCCTCAGCCTTCGCCATGCCCAGCCCACTGCCTGATGTGCCTCTCAGGACGGTGGGTGTGAGACGACAGCAGAGATTGGTGCAGCTGGAGCGCTCTGTCACCCGGGGCAAAGGCCGGCTCCTCATGGACATGGGCCTGTTCATCGGCCGCTCATTCAGGGTGGGCTGGGGTCCTGGCTCCACCCTGTGCCACGCTGGGGACCGGCTTAGCGTGCCCACCACCGATACAGAGACCCCAGAGCAGGACGGTCTAGAATACGGCTTCTTCCCCAAACCTGTCAAAGTCAAACAGTGAGTACAGCCCGCGTTCCCGAGCCCAGCACTGGGCTGTGGTGTATGTGTGTTACTGTGTGTGGGGGGTGTGCTGTCTGTGTTTGTGGCTGTCTGTAAGTGTGTGCGTATGGCTGCGTATGTATGGCTGTGTGGGTTTGTGTATGCGCGTGTCTGTGTGTGTGTGTTTGACTGTGTGTGTTGCTGTGTATGTATATAGCTGTATGTTACTCTGTGTGTGCGAGTGGCGGTGTGCGCGAGTGACGATATGTGCACATGAGGCTGCAGTGATGGTGTTTGCTATTACCAGGCTTTCAGAGCTGCCGTTTAAGGTCCACGTGGAGAGGGTGATGCTACGGGGAGAGCGAGGAGACGGGGACCTGTATCAGGAGCCGTTGGAGATCGCACTGAGACACAGCAGTGTGCAGACACAAGACGGCTGTCCCCTCATCACCCCGCAGCCAGGCGTGGAGGCACTACACCAGTATGTGGACTGGGTGCAAACGGCGCTCACCGGCTCAGAGGAGAAGGAAGGTAAGTCACGGCAAATATAATGTGATATAATACATAACAATACAATGATTAATGATGTTTAAAGTTGTCTGTTGTCTGTTTATATTGACTCACCTGAGCAGGGGGTTTGAGCACACTGTGGGGGCTGACTCTCTCTCTCTCTCTCTCTCTCTCTCTAGCTGTGCTGAGGCGCTGGGGACTGGTGTGGACGCTGTGTGAGGCTCTGTGGGGTCGGCTGAAGGCCCTGGAACCCAGAGCCTCCCAGCACAGCCCGTACGTCCAGCAGCTGGAGCGCAGGCGAGCGTTCTCCCACTGGCTCTCGCTCACCGCACATCACAGAATCGAGCAGGAGGTGGCGGTGGCTCAAGAGACAGGCCACGTGGACGCGGTGTTCAGTTACCTGACCGGCAAGCGGATCAGCGAGGCCTGCAGACTGGCCCAGCGCTCCGGTCAGCCTTATTCCTCCCTACTTCCATCATCTGCTAACTCCATATCCAGCTGTCTGCTCCCTCTGTGAAGCAATAGTGTGATACAAGTCTCTTTTCACATCCTTCGCACCTCCCACAGCAAAATAACCGAACTAATTTGTAATCACCCACTTCACCCAGCTGTACTGGCTCTCCATCCCCTAAGAATAGAGTTCAAACTCCTCACCTTGAAAGCCCTCCACGGGCTTGCTCCTTCTACCTCTGTGACCTGCTGCACATTCCCCCCCGGCCGCCCGCCCCACCAACGGCGGTCGGGCCTTCAGCCTCTCTGCCCCCACCCATTGGAACTCCATCCCCCAATCCCTCCGCCTCGCTCCCTCCCCTGCCTCCTTCAAGGCCCGTCCAAGATCCTCCTCTTCAATTGTACCTTCAGTCACCCTAACTACCCTCCATCCCCCTGATCCAAACCCCCAGCTCGGTTCCTCGTTGTTGTTCCCCAGAGAGCTCTCTACTCCCGGTTCACTCATAGCCCTGAAGAGGGTACAGAACACCACAGACGGGGAATTCGGTTAGAGTAAAGAGCTCCAGTGGGAGAGTGAGTACCAGCACAAACACGATAGGGAGAAAGCAAGGAATGGGGTTAGAATAGAGACCTCCAGTGGGGGAGTGAGCACCATCACAGATCGGATGGGGAGAGCGCTGGGCTGATGTGGTCTGTGTGTGTGTGTTACAGGAGATCACCGGCTGGCACTGCTGCTGGCACAGGCTGTGGGCAGTGAGCAAGTGCGGGAGCTGTTGGCGATGCAGTTGTTGGATTGGCACCAACTGACGGCCGATCAGTTCATGCAGGAGGACAGGCTGCGTATCGTGGCCCTGCTAGCTGGCAAGCCTGTGAGTGAGACGGAGGGAGCGCCGAGAACGTGGCGACCGCCGAGAGAGAGAAAGAAAGCACCACGCCAGCCAGTGGTCACCTTTCTCTCCATGTTTATCTGTTCTCAATATTGGGCAAGACATGAGTTCATTTCCTGGGCAGGGCGAAACTTTGGGCAACTTTCCTTTGTCCACACCCATCTGTTTAAATAATCCTTGCATTTGATATAGCGCTTTTCACGTCGGGAGGACGTCCCAAAGCGCTTCACAGAACACACTGTAAAGTGAATTGACTGTATATTTGTGGGCGAACGCGGCAGCCAATTGTGCACAGCGATGTCCCACAAACAGTCGTAGATTGAAAATGACCAATTTATTATTGTTTTTGGTTTTGGAGGGATTATTATTAGGCTCTGTGTGGAGTAAGGAAACTTGCCCAAGGTTTGGCCCTCTGCCTGGAATTGAACTCAGGTCTCTCGCTTGCAAAGCGAGTGCTCTAACCACTGAGCTACAGGACTCCACTTTACTTTACTTCACTTACCTAGCAGTAAGTAGGAACCTGTTTGTTAGCCGATTGGCGGATTGCTTTCCGTGGGTAAAAATTCCTCACACCCCACCACCCTTCGAGTGAAGTGTTTTGAGACGCCTGAACGACGTGATAAGGTGCTATATCAAATGCAAGGATTATTATTATTATCCAACAAGCGTGGGTTTGAGCCTCACGAGTTGGATGTTAGATACCAGCAACTTAATGAGGGGAATTAACAAGCGGGAAAGAGTGTTGTCTCTAGGACAGCAGAGGAAATGTGAGCTGCTGTTTGTCTCTCACTGCTGTTGCTGTGTTCCCAGGTGTGGGAGACGTCTGAGGGTGTGGTGAACGCGTGCTCACAGCTCGACTGGAAGCGATGTCTAGCTATTCACCTCTGGTACGTGCTGCCGCCCACTGCCTCCGTGGCTGATGCCCTGAGAGTCTACGATGATGCCTTCAAGGTCAGCAACCTGGGTTACATGTGCTGGGGGTGGGTGTCTGAGTGCCCATGTATAGTGGGAGGGCCTGAGTGCCCACATGCGGGGAGGGGGTCTGAGTGCCCATGTGGTGGGTTTTGAGTAGCGGAAGTCTGAGTGCCCAGTACTTGGGACGTCCTCCCGACATGAAAGGCATTGTGTAAATGTAGTGCATTGTTGTTGTACTCAGGGCACAGAGACAGTACAGAGCTACGCACGATTCCCGTTGCCGGGATATCTGGAGGATTGTGAGATAGCTGCGAGGAGCGAGGAGGACCAGACCCCACCCCAGGACATTTGCTATCATCTGCTCAAGCTCCACAGTGACAGGTACCAGCCCTGAGTGTGAGACACGGACGCGAGCACGTGCCATGGACACAGTGATAAAGACCGACCTCCTGGAGGCGGGGATACTCTGGGCTTAACTACCACACTCTCTCTTCCCCCCCCCCCCCTTGCGTATCTCTCTCCCCCCACCCCCCTCAGGTCTCTCTCTCTCTCCCTCACACCTCTGTCCTCTCACGTCTCTACCTCTCTCCTCCAATCTCTTTCTCTCCCCTCACATCTCTCTCTGTGTTAAACACACAGGTACCACGAGTTGCCGCAGTTGCTGAGCCCGGGCACTGTGACGGAGGAGCGGCTGGATTACCGGCTAAGCTGGCACGTGTGGGCGGTGCTGCAGGCCCTCAACTACAGCCACGTGTCGGAGAAACAACAGGGCCTGGTCCACAGCAGCTACGCCGCTCAGCTTGAGAGCGCCGGCCTCTGGCACTGGGCCATCTTCATCCTCCTGCACATCCCCAGCTCCCAGTGAGTGGCTCCAGCCCAGCCTCGCTCGGCTGCTACATGTGATGATGATAATAATAATTCTTGCATTTAATATCGCGCCTAATCATGTCATCGAGACGTCACAAAGCCTTCACGGAATATACTGTAAAGCGAATTGACTGTGTATTGACAGACAGGGCTGACGCTCTGTGTGTGTTTGTGTGTGTGTGTGTGTGTGTTACAGGCGACGGGAGCGTGCGGTGCGGGAGCTGTTGGCACGGCACTGCCCTCTGGTGGAGACGGAGGAGTGGCAGCGGAGGGAGGAGTTCTTGCGGCACAGCCTGGCAGTGCCGGCCCGGTGGATCCACGAGGCCAAAGCGCTGAGAGCTCACCGCGACGGCGACGCCCACAGGGAGGCCCTGCACCTGCTGGAAGCCGGGCACTGGAACGCCTGTCACCAGCTGGTGGTCAGCCAGCTGGCCTCAGGTACAACAGCAACACATTACGTTTACACGGGTCCCTCACGTCGGGAGGACATCACAAGGGTCTTGTTATGGGCCTTGAAGGAGGCAAGGGAGGGAGCAAGGCGAAGGGACGATAGGAAACGTCCACAGGCAAACGGTGAGAGGCCATAGGAAAATATCTTGTATAGTTTACACAACACAACAGCTTGCATTTCACAGCGCCCTTCACGCAGGGTAGCGTCCCAGAGCCCTTGACAGTAGCAGAGCCTGATGCCGAGCCGGGTGGGGGTGACCATAGGCACGGTCAAAGAGGAAGGTCTTCAGGTACGGCCTAAAGATGGGAAAGGGGGAGGAATTGAGGGAGAGTATTTCAGAGTTTCGGGGCATAGTTGCTGAAAGCGCGGCCACCGATGGAGGAACGGAGGGGACAAGGGACAAGAAGGAGGCCGGAGCCAGCTGAGCGGAGGAGGCGGGTGGTGGGTTGGGGAGTAAACAGGTCGGAGAGGTAGGGAGGTGCCAGGGCGCGAAGGGCTATGTAGACAAGTGTGAGTATTATCAGCGTTTATCGGAGACGGAGGATGGGTTGGTGAGTGATGGTGATTCAGTATCTCTCTTCTCCCTACCCCCCCCCCCCCAGACGCCATCATCAATGAGAAGCACAGTTACCTGCAACAGTTCCTGGAGAGACTGGCTCAGCCTGAGAGCAGGGCTCACATCCAGGATTGGGACAACGCTGGCTCCATCTTCCTCCAGTACATTCGCATTACCCAGAACCTGCAGCGTGTGCAGACCGAGGTGAGGGGGTGGGGCAGTGGGGCCGAGGTGAGGGGCCAGGGGTGGGGCAGTGGGGCCGAGGTGAGGGGCCCGGGGTGGGATATATTTGGGAGAAAATATCACAAATGTGTTTTCCCGTGTGGGGGGCCACTGACCTGGTGTGTTTTCCCGTGTAGGGGGATTGACTTGGTATGTTTTCCTGTGTGGGGTGCTGACATGTCGTGTTTTTCCGTGTGGGGGCCTTAATTGGCGTGTTTTCCTGTGTGGGGGAGGCTGACTTGGCGTGTTTTCCCGTGTAGATCGGGGGCCAGAGCTACGAGCTAGAGAGGCTGCACACGGATGTTATGTCGCTGTGTGGTCGGATCCAGCTGATCCAGTGTCACACGGCCAGGGATCAGCTCGCACAATCCGGTACGTCTCCATCAACGGCTGGCTCCAGCCTCTGGCATGTCTCATGCTCTCCGCGGCTTGCCCCCTCCTTCCCCGTCTTCAGGTCACGTCTGAGGACCTTTCTCTTTGACCATCACCTCACCAGCTCACCGTCGTGCTCCGCCTCTGTCGAGCGCTCTAGGACGTTATCGTGTATGAGGGAAGCTGTGTAAATGCAAGCTGCTGTTGTTGTCCTTCCCCGTCGCCACTACCCCCCATCCAACCGTCTTCACTCTACATTCCCCTCCCGCCTCAATCAATCACTCACTCTCTGTCTCACTCCCTCTGTGACACACACACACACACACACTCATTCTCACTTTCTTTTGCACTCTCACTCAATCATCCCCTCTCTCTGACTCTTCTCACTGACATTCACACACACTCTCTATGACATATTCTCTGACACGCAAACACACACGCGCTCTCACATACTCTCTGACGCTCACGCACACTCACACACTCTCTGACCCACACTCTCTGACACGTGCGCTCTCTCTTCCTCTGCAGACATGGCGAAGAAGATGTCTAACATGATGCGGGTGGTGCTGAGTATGCAGCACAGTGAGGAGGTGGGAGGGGAGATGGTCCCTGACCTGCAGCGAGTGCCAGTCTGCCTGCTCGCCCCACACCTGCGACAGCTCCCCATGCCCGAGGACTACGCGCTGGAGGAGCTTCGAAGCCTGACACAGGTCTACCTGCAGGAGCTGATCGTCGCCCAGTGAGAGCCCAGCCCCGCCCATCCCACCCTGCCCTGCCCCCACCAACCCGCCGTGCCCTGCCCGCCCCCACTGTTCCCTGCCCACCCCCTCCATGCCCTGCTGCCCCCACCAGCCCCTGCCCGCCCCTGCCCTGCCTACTTCCGCCCACCCCCGCCCTGCTCACCCCTGCCGTCCCCGCCCTGCCCACCCCTGCCGTGCCCGCCCCCGCCATGGCCTGCCCTGCCTACTTCCACCTGCCCTGCTGCCCCCACCCAGCCCCGCCCTGCCCACCCCTGCTCTGCCCTTGCCACCCCGCCCTGCCCGTGTGACCATGTGGGATCTGTGTGTATTGGGGTTAAGCGGGGATGTTAGTATCAACATGCAAATATAAACATGTTTCACGTGTACACACATGGACCATACACGTGTGCGTCTGAGTATGAGTGCGTGTGAGTGTGTGTGTTAGAGAGATGTGCTGCACAGAGGCGCCTTGTGCTCAGTGTGCACACTGCCACCTGATGGTGGTGGCCGGTAGTGTTCAGTCCTGGGTTCAAATAAAGAGCTGCTTCTGAAAATGTGGCTGATCAGAAAGTACTATTGGAAGCCCAACTCGAGTAACATTAAAGTCAAATCTCCAAATAAAAAGTTTTAAGTGAGCTCCTTGCGCGTAGCGTCTCTCGTAACGTTAGCACCGGTCACCCCAACCCACTTCTCCGCCCCCACCACCCCACCGAGTGTGTGTGTGTGTGTTTCCCAACCTCTGTGTGTGTGTGTGGTGTGTGTTTGTGCGTCTATCTGTCTGTTTCCGGCTCCGAGGCATATGGGGGGTGGTTGAGTGTTGTGGGTCACCAGCCTGTGACCATCACAAATAGGCACCAGCCCGGCCACTGTCTGCAGTGACTCAACTACTGAGAGCTGCTCTACCACTGAACCTGTTGTTTTACACCCCTCCATTCCCACCCACACACACACACACACATACACAAGACGCAACATTTTCACACACGAGTGGGAAGGAGGGGCTTGACTCTCTTGCTCTTGTTCACGACGCAAAACGTCTCTATTCTACAGTGGAGTCAGTGTCTGGTCACTGAGCTGCCCAGCTCCCTGGGGGCTTGCTCTGTCTGATAAAGGTTCTGGGTTTTGTAAACGTGGCCTCCTCTGCCCCCCGCTCCGGGGTCTGGTGTTGGCAGGGGGCACAGAATAATAGCGAGGCCGCGGTGTGTGAGTTCTGTACAAAGGCTGAATCGCAGATTGTGTATTCAAAGTTTTTATTAAAATTAATAAAATAATCTCAAGAGTTTGTCTTGTTTTCTGCTCGTCCTGTCTCTAATCCTGACCTGGGAGTGTGGACAGACAGTGTAGAGGGGTTTTGATAGAGTGGACAAGGAGAAACCGCTTCCTCTGGTGAGTAGGTCGGTAACCAGAGGACACAAATTTAAGATAATTGGCTAAAGAACTAGAGTGGAGACAAGAATATTTTTTTACCCAGAGAGTTGTTGCAGTCGGAATGCACTGCCTAAAAGTGTGGTGGAAGCAGATTCGATAATAGCTTTCAAAAGGGAATTAGATATTTACTTGAAAGGAAAAAATGTACAGGGTTGTGGAGTAAGAACGGGAGGTGGGACTAGTTGGATAGCTCTTTCAAAGAACCCATTTCCGGCACGATGGACTGAATAATAATAGTAATCCTTGCATTTGATGTAGCGCCTTATCACTGCTTTGAGACGTCTCAAAGCGCTTCACAGGATATGCTGTAAAGTGAATTGACTATATTTGTGGGTGAAACGCAGCAGTCGATTGCTCCCAGCAGTCCCACAAACAGTTGTGGATTGAGTGACCTATTTATTTATTTATTTATTTATTTATTTATTTGAAGGAATAATTACTCCTGGAAAGCGATCCGCCAATCGACTAACAACCAGGTTCCTACTTACTGCTGGGTAAACGGGCGTGTGGAGCAAGGAAACTTCCCAAAGTTTCACCCTGATCCGCCTGGGAATCAAACGTCCTCCTGTGCTGTAAGATTCTATAACGTCACACAAAAGAGAGGTAATATTTCACACCAACATTCACAGGGACCTGGAGTCCCCTCACGTGAGGACACAGCTGCCCCTGCCCCGGTCATGCCCCGCCCAGCGTCGCAGGACGATACGTGCTGCCTCTTCGAATACCATCTCCACGCCAAGCCTGTGCCGTGCCGAGCACTCCAGGTAGGTGTCGGCGTGGATGGAGCGTGCGAGAGCGATGCCCTGCTCGGTGGTGATGGGCATGGTTTCCTGGCGGAGGAGCTGGAGCAGCGTGGCGCTGTCCTGCCGCAGGTCAATCTGGGTGCCAACCAGCAGCACGGGCAGGTGTGGGCAATGCCGTAACATCTCTGGGTACCAGTTCTGCCACACGCCGCGGAAGGAGACTGGATCGCACACGGAGAAGCAGAGGATGAGAATGTCGACTTGCGGGTAGTAGAACTGACGGGCTGCGAGCAGGTGCTCTTCCTGGGCGGCCGTGTCCCTCACGCTCAGGCTGACCGTCCGGCCCCCCACACACAACCGCGCCCGGTATGTGTCCCACACCGTGGGCATGCTCTCCTGGGGGAACGAACCCGTGGTGAAACACACGATCAGAGACGTCTTCCCCACCAACGCGTCTCCGAGCAACAGCCCTCTGATGGTCACCATGGCAACACCTCCGTCCTCGCAGCCTGCAACCAAATAGATCATAAGAATAATCCTGATACAGCGCCTTATCACGTCTTCCAGACGTCTCAAAGCGCTTTGCAGAGTATACTGTGAAGTGCAGTGTCTGTAGTGTAGTTTCAAGCGCTCCGGGACGCTTTCCTGCGTGTATATAAATGCAAGTTGTTGTTTTGTGGGGCGGGTGTCTGACATGTGTAACCTATCAAAATGCTTAAGAGTCTTCAACCCAACTGAGACTTCCAGGCATCCCACCTACATGTGGAAATCCCAGAGGTAGATTGTTGGAATGGAATGCGCCCTCTCTCCCCAGAGAGACATGTCCTGTTTACCTAATTCTGGAAAGTATTAGGTTGGCAAAAGCCAAGGCTTGGGGACCCCAGAGTGTGCATTGGGGGTAACTGCTCCATATCCCCGCCCGGACCAGCACACCTTCGCCGATCAAGCCTTCAGGCTCTCTGCCTCCACTTTTTGGAACTCCATCCCACACTCCCTTTGCCTCGTTCCCTCTCTTGCCTCTTTCAAGGCACATCTCAAGATCCTCCTCTTTGACCACACCTTCGGTCACCCTCCTACTCCTAACCTCCCTGGCCTCCACCCCGCCTCATCCCAACACCGAGCTCGGGTCCAAATCCCTGACTGTCCAGCGCCTTGGGACGCCTTCCCGACATGAAAGGTGCTGGGTAAGTGTAATGTGTTGTTGTTGTCACCCTCTGGCAAGCTTTCCTGCTGCTTGTCCCACTAGGACTACCCTATCCATTAGGGCTTTGACCCTGCTCCCAGTGAGATGACTCCTTATCCCTAGTGACTGGTCTGCCTTTCCAGGACCTGCCGAGGAGCCAGGCTGGACTGTGCTGTCATGAAGGTAGTGCCCTGGAGTCGTTGAGATGTCTCAAATACAAAAACATTTGCTCGCTCATTGCACAACTGTTTGTGGGACACTGCTGTGCGCAATTGGCTGCCAAGTTTCTCCCACAAAATACACATCCAATATATTGCAATATATCATATGAAGCACGATATCAAATGCAAATATTATTATTGATGTATTATCGACGAGATCAAAAATACAACACACATGGCACCTCCAAGCTTCTCACAGAATCTCTGTGACGTGTAGTGACTATGTGTTTTATGGGCCAATGCAGCACCCACAAAATTTGACCCAACGAGGTACCACAAATACCCATGAGGTGAATGAGCGATTTTATCTTGGTGAATAATAACAACAATAATAACAATAATCCTTGCACGCGAATATATCCTTATCACGTCATTGAGACAACAACAACAACAAATTACATTTATGCAGCAACTTTCACGTCTGGAGAACATCCCAAGGCGCTGAATCGTTGGGGATTTGGACCCGAACTGGGGGTTGGGATCAGGAGGGAGGAGGGCAGGGAAGGTGAGGATACAAGAGTGAGAGTGGTTAAACCTGACATTTCAGGTCCCGTGGGCAGGGGATCAGGTCATGTGGAGTGAATGTGCACAATGGCTCCCTTATGTCACTCACCCTCGTGTTAATCCACCTGTGTGTGTCTGTGCACCACTGTCTAACAGACCGCTAACCTGTTCAGCTTGTTTCAGCCGAGCCTTCAGGAAGAAGCCAGCAGTTTCAGCTCCCGTTGCCCGCCAACCACCCCCCCCCCCCACACCACACCACCCCCCAGGCTGACGTTCAAGTGCAGTGATGGGGAAAGGAAGAGAGCACCGCATTGTTGGAGACGGAGATGCCGTCCTTCGCATGAGATGTTAAACCTCACTCCCCGTCTGTGCCCTGTTCAGGGTGTACGTTAAAGATCCTGGGGAAGGGAGTTTCTCTCTCCCAGTGCCCTGGAATTTAGGGTTTGCCAAAATACATAGTCACTAGACGTCACAGCCATTCTTGCAGAACAGCTTTGAGGTAAAATAGAGTTTTCAAAATGTCAGATTTCATTGGCATTCCTGGCTACATCTGACATTTCTATCTCTTTCTCTCTGCTCCGTCTCTCTCTCTCTCTCTGACTCTCATTCTCTGTCTCTCGCTTTCTTTTTTTCTGCATCTCTCTCTGTCTTCCTCTCTCTCTCTTTATCGCTCTCTCTCTCTGTCTCTGTCTCTCTGATTCCTGCCTGCCCAGGAGATGGCAGAGCCAGTTACATGCCCCTGACTCTGCTCGGAGACTGGGCATCGACCGGGAGAACACAGGAAACTCTTTTGCACAAGAAACCCAAACAGATGAGGGGTGGGGGGACGAGTAGCTGGTGACAAGCCTTGTTCTCTCCCTCACCGCCCCAATAAAATCACCATCCCAAAGAGTGACAGTGAGACGGAGAGAGTGACAGTAAAACAGAGGGAGAGACAGTGAAGGAGATTGTGACAGAGAGAGAGGGTGAAATGGAGAGTGTGCAGTGAGAGAGAGTGACAGAGAGAGAGAGAGAGAGAGAGGGACAGTGAGAGGGAGTGACAGAGAGAGAGAGGGGAACAGTGTAGTGGAGCCCTACAGCTTAGTAAACGGCTTCTGCACCAGCCCCCGCACAGTCTCGTGCGGTGTTCCTCAGGGCTCTGTCCTCGGTCCTCTCCTCTTCACCCTCTACATGCTCCCCCTTGGTAACATCATCCGCAGACATGGGGTAAATTTCCACATGTATGGGGATGACACCCAACTCTATCTCTCTGCCTCCACCCTCAACTCCAGGACTACTGGGGTCCTGATTGACTGCCTGTCCGACATCAAGTCGTGGACGAGGGATAACTTTCTCCAAGTGAACGTCAGCACGCCCGAGGCCCTCCTGATTGGCTCGCGCCTGCGCCTCCGCACCTTGAGCGTTGGCAGCATCAGCCTCCACGGCTGCACACTCAACCTCACTAAGCCAGTCAGGAACCTGGGTATCTTGTTTGACCCTGAACTGTCCTTCTTCCCCACATCCGCACCATGACCGACACTGCCTACCACCACTCCGCAACAATGCCAGACTCCGCTGCTGCCGAAACCCTCACCCACACATTCGTCACCTCAAGGATCAATTACGAGAACTCCTTCCCAATCGGCCTTCCCAACGCTTCCCTTCACAAGCTGCAGATCATCCAAAACTCTGCAGCTCGTGTACTCTCACGCACCAGGCTCCGTGACCCCATCACTCCCATCCTCGCCCGACTCCACTGGCTTCCCATCTCTCAGCTTCTCTGCCCCCACACTCTGGAACTCCATCCCACAGTCCCTTCGCCTCGCTTCCTCCCTTGCCTCCTTCAAGATCAGTCTCAAGACCCTCCTCTTAGATCGTGCCTTCAGACGCCCTCCCACCTCTCTGCGTTCCCTCACCCCTACCCCACCCCTCCCAAATGCTAGGGTGGGTCCTGACCACCCCTGACTGTCCAGCACCTTGGGACGTCCTCCTGACGTGAACGGCGCTCTATAAATGTAATGTTGTTGTAAATGTAAAATGTAAAGTGGTTAGAGCACTTGCCTCACGTGTGAGAGGATTGGGGCGAAACCAACGACAAGTTTCCTTACTCCACACACCTCTGTTTACATAGCAGTAGGAACCAAGTTGATTAGAGGATCACTTTCCAGGGTTAATAATCCCTTCAAAAATGATAATACTAATAATTTGGTCACTGTTGACTGTTTGTGGGACATTGGGGTGCACAATTGGCAGCCGTGTTTCGCCCACAAAATATACAGTCACGACACTTTACAGTATAGTCTGTGAAGCGGTTTGAGACGTCTAGAAGACATGATAAGGCGCTATATCAAATGCAAGTATTATTGTTATTTTTAGTGACAGAGAGCGCTGTACCTCAGTGACGGGATGTCCTTGTGTTGAGATTCCCTGTCTGTGGTGGCTGAGTCAGAGCTGGTGCTGGCCAGAAGTCACTGAAGATGTGAAGTGATCAAAGGCGGAACAGACACTAACCCAACAACTGCCTGGGAATCACGAAATATCTGTCCTTGACTTGTGTGTGGAGACAAGATAGTGTGACAGTGTGAGGGAACAAGAGAGAGAGAGAGACTGAGACAGAGAGAGGGAGGGAGCGAGACAGAGAGAGGGAGGGAGGGGCGAGTTGAATTCTTTGACAGTGACATCTCAGTTTCAGGTGGTTTCTTTGCTAACACAATACACCCTTATTGATACACACCTTTCTTGTCATCTCAAAGTGGCTCCAGGATTTTACACAACACACAGTCACTATACTTTACAGTAAAATGACTGTGTGTTGTGTAGGCGGATTATATTTGGTTGGTTAGTTGTATCACAGAAACCAGGCAGACAGACTTTTTTTTGGTCCGCCGGGATATTTGCAGAAATCCATCACCGTGCTTAAGAGTATCCAAACCAAAGTGATAATCCCACCTACACATGGAAATCCCAGAGATAGATTGTTGGAATGGAATGCGCACTCTCTCTCTCCCTATTATTAATTCCAGAAAGTATTAATAATAATAATAATAATCCTTGCATTTGATATAGCGCTTTTCACGTCGGGAGGACGTCCCAAAGCGCTTCACAGAACACGCTGTAAAGTGAATTGACTGTATATTTGTGGGCGAACGCGGCAGCCAATTGCGCACAGCAATGTCCCACAAACAGTTGTAGATTGAAAGTGACCAATTTATTATTGTTTTTGGTTTGGGAGGGATTATTATTAGGCTCTGTGTGGAGTAAGGAAACTTGCCCGAGGTTTCGCCCTCTGCCTGGAATTGAACTCAGGTCTCTCGCTTGCAAAGCGAGTGCTCTAACCACTGAGCTACAGGTTGGCAAGAGCCAAGGCTTGGGGGCTCCAGAGTGTGCGTTGGGAGACTGCTGGGAGTCCAACCAACTAAAACCGCGTAGCTTGCCATTGTGAGCGCTGTGTGGCAAGGCTTTCCCGCTGCTTGTCCAGCGAGGACCACGCTACCCGTTAGCGCTTTGGTTTGCAGGGTCAACAGGAGCTGAATGAGATGATTCCCTGTCCCTAGTGACTGGTCTGCCCTTCCCGGTCCTGCCGATGAGCCAGGCCGGGCTATGCAGTCACCAGCAGTGCCCTGGAATACTGCGGTCCTGGGGACCTGCTGATGCTGATGACAGCGCAGCCAGTGCAATGCTGGTAGGAGCGATGCATTTGTCAGAGATGTCGTCCTTCGGCTGAGACATTAAACCCAGTTTTCGACTGTGCTCTTTCCTCAAGCTGACACGTCAAGTGAAATCTGTGAGGGTAAGAACGAGAAGGGAGTTTCTTTCTCTCTCTGTCTTTCTCTCTCTTGGTGACTTGGTCCACAATTCCCCGGCTAAAATCACTCAAGTCACTCAAGGCTGTTTGTGGTGGCGTTGCTGGTCATAAATTGGCTGCTGCGTTCACCTACGAAACACGCAGTCACTACACGTTACAGTGAATCCCGTGAAGCCTTTTCAAATGTCATCCTGACGTGAAACTTTGGAATACTCTTTCTCTATCCCTCCGCCTTACCTTCTCCTTCCCCATCTTCAGGTCGCACCTGAAGATCTTCCTATTCGACCGTGCTTAAGGTCACGTTCCCCCCCCACTCTCCCCCCCCCCCCCCCCCCGGCTCGGTGTCGTGCTCCGCCACTGTCGAGTGCTCTGGGATGCTGCCCTGCATGAGGGGAGCTGTGTAAATACAAGTTGTTGTTGTTAAAAGGCACTATGTTAAGCGTGAGATTATTATACTCCTTTTCAACATCCCGCGTGTTGAGACCGGGTGGAATTTGAGGGATCACTGTAAAGCTGTGCTGGCGTTGATCCAGGAAATCAGTGCGTTTTACAATGAGCGTGAATCACGCAACCTCCCCCTCTCCCCCCCACCCCACCACCACCACCACCACCACCCTGGGCTGTGCAGACACTTGGTGCCTCGATATCAAAACCCCCACACGACACCCCCCACCCCAGGCCACCCACCCGAACCCCCCCACCATCACCCCCACCATTAATGGGCACTGGCCATGCTTGTGGTTGGGAAAGGGGGAGGGGAAAGGCAGAACTGAAAGAGGAAGTAAACACCAAAGGAGAGAAACAAGGAAGTGAAAACCGACAAGGCCACAGCTGCGGAGTTTAACCCCTCACCTGCTGGCCACCATTCTAAAAAATTAACCCTTTCGATGCTCCAAACTTGTGATGACGGCTATGTTTGTGGTGTATTTGTTTCCCTCAGCGTCCCTGGGTTAGGACAAACCATCCAACCAGGATTCCTGTCTCTCCCCCACCCACCCCGCACCCCGGGACCTAGAGACAAGCCCTGTCCTAGATACAGCGGGGAAGCTCTTTCTCTTTCTATCTTCTTTGGACGGTGGGGGGAGGGGTTGGGGGGCAAGCGGGGGCTCCTTGGAGCTGAACTGGCTCCAAGGTGACATGTTGGCCAATGGAATGTCGGATTGAGCCAGCTCTCCGTGATGGGCTCTTGTCTAATTCCTGAGCCAACGGGTCCGCAGTATTCCAGAGCACTGCTGATGACAGCACAGCCCGGCTCATCGGCAGGACCTGAAAAGGCAGGCCAGTCACTGGGAGCAGGGATTTATCCCACTCGGCTCCTGTTAACCCTGCAAGCCAAAGCCCTAACAGGTAGGGGTGGTCCTAGTTGGGCAAGCAGTGGGAAAGCTGGCCAGACGGTGAGCTCAATGGCAAGCTATGGCTTTAGAATGTCACATCTGTGATCAGGGTTCCCTCTGCCTCCCTGTCCTCCTCGATCTCTCTGCCGCCTTCGACACTGTCGACCACTCCATCCTCATACACCGCCTCTCCGCCTTATTCAATCTTCATGGACCTGCCCTTGCCTGGTTCGATTCCTGCCTCTCTCACCATCTCCACTTCGTTGTCTCTAACGGTTTCTCCTCCAGCTCCCGCACTGTCATGTCTGGCGTCCCCCAGGGCTCTGTCCTTGGCCCTCTCCTCTTAAATATCTACATGCTCCCCCTTGGTGACATCATCCGCAGACACCCAACACCCAACTCTATCTTTCTGCCTCCACCCTCAACTCCAGGACCATTGCTGTCCTGACAGACTACCTGTCGGACATCAAGTCCAAGATGAGGGCAAATTTCCTACAGTTGAATGTGAACAAGACTGAGGCCCTCCTGATCGTCTCGCGCCACCACCTCAGCATCTCAGGCTCTGGCAGCATCAACCTCCATGGTTGCACACTACAACTCACCAGCCAGTCAGGAACCTCAGTGTCTTGTTCGACCCTCAACTGTCTTTTCTCCCCCACGTTCAAGCCATGACCCGCTCTGCCTTCCCTCACCTCCGTAACACCGCCACTACCTCACCCCTCAGGCCGCCGAAACTTTTGTTCATGCCTTCATCACCTCCAGGTTCGACTATGCAAATGCCCTGCGTGTCGGCCTTCCCAACTCCTCCCTCCACAGGCTGCAGATAATCCAGAACTCTGCAGCCCGTGTCCTCTCCTGCACCAAACTCCGTGACCCCATCTCCCCCACTGTTGCCCGATTCCATTGGCTCCCATTCCTTCAGAGGATCCAGTTCAAGATCCTGGTCCTCATCTCCATGGCCTCGCCTCACCCTACCTCTGCGACCTCCTAACCCTCTACCAATCCGTCCGTTCCCTCCGCTCAGCCAGCTCTGGCTGCTCCACGTCCCCCGACCCAACGTCCCAACATTGGCGGGAGAGCCTTCAGCTGCTCTGCCCCCAATCTCTGGAATTCTAACCCCCAGTCACTCCATCTCGCCCCCTCCTTAGCCTCCTTCAAGTCCCGCCTCAAGACCCTCCTCTTCGACCATGCCATCGGCGACCCCCCTTCCCCTCCCCTCCCTTACCCCCCCAACCCCAGCTCGGGTCTGAAATGCTGTACTCTGTCCAGCGCCTTAGGACGTCCTCCCGACGTGAAAGGCGCTATACAAATGTAATCTTGTTGTAGTTGTTGTTTAGCTGCTTAGACTCCAGTAGTTACTCCAATGCACACTCTGGGGTCCCCAACTCCTGGATCTTGCCAACCTACGCCTAATACTCTCCAGAATTAGGTCAGCAGGATCCATCGAGGGAGAGAGTGCGCATTCCATTCCAACAACTTATCTCTGGAATTTCCATGTGTAAATGGGATGCATGGAAGTCTCAGCTTGGTTTGGATACTCTTAAGCTTGTTGAAGGGTTTCCCCAAGTGTCATTGAGCTAGAACGCAGCATTCAACCAAACGTGGGATCCCAGGGGTGAAGGATCTCAGCTCTCTGATTGGGGTGGGGGTGGGTGGGTGAGACTCCCTACTCCACGTCCCCCGCCCAGCCCGCCCCACCATCAACGGTCGTGCCTTTCTGCTCCCGTTCTTTTGGAACTCCATCCCACAGTCCCTCCGCCTCGCTCTCTCCCTTGGCTCCTTCAAGGCACGTCTCAAGACCCTCCTCTTCGACCGCGTCTTTAGTCACCCTCCCACCCCACCCTCCCTGCCCTCCACCCCTCCTGATCCCAACCCCCTCCAGCTCGGGTCCAAATCCTTGACTTGAAAGGCGGTGTGTAAATATAATTTGTTGTTGTTGTTGTTGTTGTTGTTGGAGGAGGAGGAAGAGCTGTGGACGGCTCCCGACAGCGGACAAAATTAGAGCCAGGCCATTTCGGAGTGAAATCCGGAGGCAGCTTTTCACCCAAAGGGCAGTGGAAATCTGGAACTCCCGTCCCGCAAAGGGCTGTGGATTGTGACTGGATCCGTGCGCGAGACGGAGGTGGTCAGGTCAGGGTATCAAGGGATATGGGGCAAAAGGGCGGGTAATTGGGAGTGGAGGTACAGATCAGTCGCGATCTAATAGGATGGCGGAACAGGCTCGAGGGGCTGAATGGCCTCCTCCTGGTCCTATGTTGCGCTGGGTGAAGGATAAGAAAGAAATGCTGCAAGGATTGGCTGTGCTAATAGAACGGCGGAACAGGCTCGAGGGGCTGAATGGCCTCCTCCTGGTCCTATGTTTCGATGGGTGAAGGATATATAAAAAAAATGCTGCAAGGATTGGCTTGAGCGACCCCCGCAGCCATGTCCCATTAGTGTCACTCACTGTGTGGGGTGGGGCTCAATGTTTTCCTGTTATGAATTGTTTTTTTTTTTGACGTGGGATTAAAACATTGTCAGGTTCCGCCGAGATTTGAACTCGGATCGCTGGATTCAGAGTCCAGAGTGCTAACCATTACACCACGGAACCTGCGGCTGCTCAGCCAGCCGACGGGAGGCGCCTTTGAGGTACTCGGGGCCGGCGTCTGAACGTAGATCACATGATACCACCGCTCTGCACGCCGAACGGGCCACGTGTTTCGGTGAGTCGGCATGGTAACGAGTTTCGCGCCCCGATCACCTGACTGAAGACCGGAAGCCACCCTGGGCGTCGCCATCTTGAAGCGACGGGCGGTCGCCCGCTGCATAAAGAATAATTGTTATATTTCAACGCAGAAATGTCAGTGACAAATGTCCGGACTCAACAACTTTTAATATAACTGTGAGACATTAAGCACTGAATCATTCAGACACGGCGGGGAGAGACGGCCGGGGTGGGGGTGGTGGGCATCGCGCTCCGGAGGGCGGTTTCCGGCCGCCATTTTGGGTTGAAAGTGAGGCGGAGCCGCGAGGTGACTGATTGGGGAGAAAAGAACCAAACTGAGAGACAAAGAGCAGCAGCAGCGGGTGCCGACGTCCCGCTGTGTCTCGGGGATTCAGGGCCTGGTGTTGACACGGCGCCTGCTGCTCCGGGACGATTTGCTTTCGCCCTCCAATTTCTGGGATGACCTGTGACCCGGAAGTGGTGGCGGGCGGCGGCGGCGGCGTTACCCTGGAGACGCGGGATGGAGAGTGAGCGGGAGGCCTGGATGCTGGACTCTATTCAGCAGTGAGAGAGAGACCCCGGGGTGGGGAGAGACCCCGGGCTGGGAGGTGGGGAGAGACCCCGGGCTGGGGGCCGGGGAGAGACCCCGGGCTGGGGGGCGGAGAGCCACCCCGGGGTAGGGGGCGGAGAGAGACCCCGGGGTGGGGGGCGGAGAGAGACCCCGGGGTGGGGGCGGAGAGAGACCCCGGGGTGGGGGGCGGAGAGAGACCCCGGGGTGGGGGGTGGAGAGAGACCCCGGGCTGGGGGGCGGAGAGAGACCCGGGTGGGGGGGGAGGAGAGACCCGGGGTGGGGGTGGAGAGAGACCCCGGGCTGGGGGGCGGAGAGAGACCCCGGGCTGGGGGGCGGAGAGAGACCCCGGGGTGGGGGGTGGAGAGAGACCCCGGGCTGGGGGGCGGAGAGAGACCCCGGGCTGGGGGGCGGAGAGAGACCCCGGGGGGGGGGGTGGAGAGAGACCCCGGGGTGGGGGGTGGAGAGAGACCCCGGGGTGGGGGGTGGAGAGAGACCCGGGCTGGGGCGGAGAGAGACCCCGGGGTGGGGGGCGGAGAGAGACCCGGGGTGGGGGGCGGAGAGAGACCCCGGGCTGGGGGGCGGAGAGAGACCCCGGGGTGGGGGGGGAGAGAGACCCCGGGGTGGGGGGTGGAGAGAGACCCCGGGCTGGGGGCGGAGAGAGACCCCGGGGTGGGTGGAGAGAGACCCCGGGCCTGGGGCGGAGAGAGACCCCGGGCTGGGGGGCGGAGAGAGACCCCGGCTGGGGGGGCGGAGAGAGACCCCGGGTGGGGGTGGAGAGAGACCCGGGGTGGGGGGTGGAGAGAGACCCCGGGGTGGGGGGTGGAGAGAGACCCCGGGGTGTAGTGGATGAAGAGACCCTGGTGTGTGTGGGGGGGGGGGGAGCGGGGTGGGGGAGAGACACTGGTGTGGGGTTGGGGGAGAGAGAGTGTCTCATTATGTCTGTCGTCTCCTCAAAAGGTACAATGACCTCTATGTATTTGAGCTGCAGGATCCCACCCAGGTCATCGAGTGGATTCAGGACAGGAGTGAGTCTGTGTTTCACTGCTCTTTCTCCTCCTTTCTCACATTGCCCCCGCTTACAGCCATTCTCTCCCGCTTGCTGGAATTGCATCCCTCTGCTCTGTCCCCTCCTTCCTCAGCTCCCAGGTCTCTTTGACATGCTTTCAGATGTTCTGATGTGAAAGTAAAATTGTTGTTGAACATTGCCCTTGCTGGAGTGGGGGAACGTGAGTCAGAGAGTTCATTTACACAGCAACGTTCACGCCCGGAGGAAGTCCCAAGGCGTTGGACAGTGCAGGGTTGTGCACCCGATCTGGGAATTGAATTTTGGAGGGGTGGGTGGGGGATGAAAGGTGACCGAAGGCACACTCGAAAAGATGGACCTTGAAGGAGGTGAAGGAAGGAGTCTTCAGGATGGAGTTTCAGAGAATAGGGACAGATCGGCTGAAAGCCCACCTGCTGAGAGGAAAGGGAAGGGGATGTGAAGCAGGCTAGTTTGTGCCTGGCAGGCGGAGGGAGTGGTGGGTTGGTTGGAAGGGTTTAAGGAGGTCACAGAGGAAGACGGGCAAGACGTGGAAGGATTTCACCCAGCCAGGTGAAACATTGGGCACGTTTCCTTACTCCACACGCCTCTGGTTACTTAGCAGTAAGTAGGAACCTGGTTGTTAGCCGATTGGCACATCAATCAATCCACGACTGTTAGTGCGATACCACTGTTTGCAATTTGCTGCCGCGTTTTGTCCACAAAATACACAGTCACTACACTTTACAGTATATCCTGTGAGGTGCTTTGAGATGTCTTGATGCCGTGATAAGGCGCCGTATCAAATGCAAGGATTATTATTTATTAAGGTAACCTTTGACTGTAACTTTTGTCCCCGCAGGTGTCTGTGTCGCTGGCTATGATACAAAAAAGAGAAATGAAATCCTTCAGCTTTCGTTGCCCCCAAAGCTGTGTGCTGGGGTGAGGCAGGTAATGAGACTGCTTGCCACAGGTGGAGTTTCACTGCTAAATGAGTGTCAAGTCAGTGTGATTGCAGCTTTTCAGGCTTGTTACTGAAGTTGGCAGCCTGCGTGCCAATACCTTCCTGACAAGAACAAATTACATTTGTACAGCGCCTTTCACTTCAGGAGGCTGACACTGGAAAAGTCAGGGGTTTGGACCCGAGCTGGAGGTTGGGATCAGGAGGGGTGGAGGGCAGGGAGTGTGGGTGATAGGAGGGTGACTGAAGGTGCGGTCGAAGAGGAGGTTCCTGAGACGGGCTTTGAAGGACGCAAGGGTGAGCGAGGTGAAGGGACTGTGGAATGGAGTTTCAAAGGGTGGGGGCAGAGACCTTGAAGTCCTGGCTGCCGATGGTGGGGCGGGCAGGAGACGTGGAGCAGGCCAGAGTCCGCTGGGCGGACATGTTGGTAAGGAGTTAGCAAGTCACAGAGTTAGGAGTAAGTAAGAACTAAGTGTAATTAAGAGGAGGCTAAACATTACACCCATTCCTCCCTCAGGGGCTGTGTCCAGAAAGAGATTTCCGAGTGGAGCACGGTGGCTTCTCCAACCGGCCTGTGCACCAATTGAAGCACGTTTCAGGGACCAGGTAAAGCCTGACCTTGTGTGTGGATCTGTATACAGGGGAAGGCTCCATATGCTGGGACGGGGGCGAGGTTTGGGGTTCTGAGATGCATTATATACACTGTGGAGTCTATGTAGCGTAGTTACAAGCGAGAGGACCCTGGTTTGATTCCTGGACAGAGTGAAAACTTAGGCAAGTTTCCTTACTCCACACGCCTCTGTTTACCTAACAGTGAATAAGAACCCAGTTCTTAGTTGATTGGCGGATCGCTTTTCGATATCCCTTTGAAAAGAAATGAAACAAAATAACTAATAGTAATGTGGTTACTGAATTACAACTGTTTATAGGACACTGCTGTGCGCAATTGGCTGCAGTGTTTTACCCACAAAATACACAGTCAATTCACTTCACAATACACAGTCTATTCACTTTACAGTATATTCTGTGAAACGCTTATGAGACGTCTCAAAGATATAATAAAGCACTGTATCGAATGGATTATTATTATACACATAGCTCTACTCTGACAGGTTGCTGGTGAGCGCTGGGCCTCCAGACGCCTCGCTGCTGGTGTGGAGAGTGGGAGCGGAGGAGAGAGGTGAGCCAGACTGCTGGTTAGACTGGGTTTGGTCAGTTCTAGACTTGAAGGTAAGTGGGGCTCCACAGGGCTGAACTGGCTCCAAGGTGACGTGTTCGTCAACGGAATGTCAGACTCAAGCCCACTCTCTGTGGCGGTCTCTAGAAGGTTCTTGAGCCAGGCAGGTCTGCAGTATTCCAGTGCACAGCTGATGACAACATAGCTCATCGGCAGGACCTGGAAGGGCAGACCTGTCACTGAAGCAGGGATCCCGCTCAGGTTCTATTAACCCCGCAAGCCAAAGCCCTAACCAGCAGGGTGGTCCTACAAGCAGCAGGAAAGCTTGCCCAACAGTACTCTCAACGGTAAGCTATGAGGTTTTATTTGGTTAGACTCCCAGCAGTTGCCCCAACGTACACTCTGGACTCCCCAAACTTTGGCTCTTGCCAACCCTCATCTAATACTTCCCAGAATTAATCAGGATATGTCCCTCCAGGGAGAGAGTGCGCATTCCATTGCAATAAACATCTCTGGGATTTCCATGTGTAGATGGGATGCATGGAATTCTCAGGTTGGTTAGGATATTTTTAAGCACGGAGATGGGTTTCAGACAAGTGTCAGACACCCGGTTGAGCAAAAAAAAAAGCGTTTCAGAGGGTTTCATCTTCTGTGCGATGTATCAGATGGGAGATTATTGTTAATCGAAACTATTTTCTCTGCTGTCCTCTGGAGAACAGACACCATAGAGTTGGTGAGCACCATACACAGCCCAGAGGAGACCTGGCCACAGATAGCCACCAGCTGCTCACTATCACCCCGCCTGCTCCATGGCTCACAGCTCAACAACGTGAAGATCCACGATGTGGAAACCCAGAAGCTGCTGTTCACACTTGGTACGTCCGGGAGCCTCACATACAATCTTACAGAATAGAAGGAGGTCAATCGGCTCATCGTGCCCTGTGCCGGCTTTTTGAAAGAACTATTCACTTCCCTGCTCATACCCAGCTAACATGCCCAGTTAGCTAACTCTACTCTGCTCCCAATAATAATAATGATAACATTCCTTGCATTTGATATAGCGCCTTATCACGTCTTCGAGACGTCTCAAAGCACTTTTCAGAATATACTGTAAAGTGGATTAACTATATTTTGTGGGAGAAACACAGCAGCCAGCAGTGTCCCACAAACCATTATTTGGAGGACTTATTACCCCTGGAAAAGCAATCTGCCAATTAACTTAACAACCGGGTTCCTACTTACTGCTAGGTAAACAGGTGAAAACGTGCCCGAAGTCTCGCCCTGCTGGGAATCGAACCAGGTCCTCTTGCTTGCGAGGCGAGTGCACTAATCACTACGTTACAGGTCTCCCGAGGACACTGACTGGGTCAGTCACTGTTCTTCACATGTCCGGTTTGGCAGTGCTTTTAAGCGCTCAAAGACACTACTCCATGTGAATGGCACCATATAAATGCAGGTTATATTAATCATAATAATTCTTGCATTTGATACAGCGCCTTATCTGAAAGCGATTCACATAACATATTGTAAAGTGGTGACTATTTGTGGGCGAAACAAGGCAGCCAATTGTGCATAGATGAGTCACTATATGAAATGCAAGGATTATTATTGTAAGCTGAACCCCCTGTTCTGTCACAGACTCGGCCCTGACAGAGCCGCTCAGCGGGCTGCACCTCACAGACTCCGACACCTTTGTCCTCTGCTCCGCTCGGGATGGTTGCCTGTGGCTGGGGGACTGGCGGCAGCGCCCGGCTCTGGCTGGAAGCTCAGAGGTGCCCGCTAGTATGGGCAGGGCCTCCCGTTGGGTGATGGCCCCGGGGCCGGGGCCCGATCTGAGCCTCTCCCCCACCGCCCGGCTCTCGTCAGCAGGCAGCTTAGTACTGACAGATCTGCGGGACTTCAACAAGCCACTGAGCTGCGCTGAGATGAAGCTTTCCTCACATTCCCCCAACCCTGAGCACCTGTGTGTGGCCCGGGCTCCCTGCTCACAGGGCTGCCTCTCTGTCTCCGGTAAGTGGCTTTTCAGCAAGTTTCATACAATCCTAGGGTGGCTGTACTCGCTCCACACTGGAGCTCTCCACTCCAACCCCATTCCCTGCTCTCTCCCCATCGTGTTTGTGCTGATTCTTTTTTCTTGAAAGGTTTATTCCCTTTTAAAAGTCTTCAGCAACCACTTATGGCAGAGCATTCTCTAATCGTTGCTGCCTTTGACCTGGGAGTGTGGACGGACCCTCCTCTTTGACTGTGCCTTCAGTCACCCTCCTACCCACCCTCCGTGCTCTCCACCCCTCCTGCTCGTGTCCAAATCCCTGACTGTCCAGCGCTTCGGGACATCCTCCTGATGTGAGAGTCTCTGTGGAAATGTAATGTGTTGTTGTTGTTGAAGGGTTTGACGGGACGGTACATGTGTATGAGAGCAGTGCCTGGACGGTGGCGTCGGGTGAGGTGCAGCCTCTGTTTGTGCACCGAGGCCATGCGGTGAGAGATTGCGATGATGAGCCCAGCGCAATGGTCACCAAACACGTGTGGCATCCGAACAGACCTCACACCATCCTGTCAGCGGCCACTGACGGCTCCTTCCACATCTGGAACTGGGTCCAACCATCCTCCCACAGCTAGTGCTCCACCCCCCAGCTCGGCACTGCTCCGCCCCCCCCCACCCCCACTCTCCCCAGCCAGTGGCCACTGCTACCCCCCACCCCCAGCAGCTGCTCTCCCTCACCCCCAGCCAATGCTCTTCCGCACCCCCAGCCAATGCTCTCCCGCACCCCCAGCCAATGCTCTCCCGCACCCACAGCCAATGCTCTCCCGCACCCCCAGGCAATGCTCTCCCGCACCCCCAGGCAATGCTCTCCCGCACCCCCAGGCAATGCTCTCCCGCACCCCCAGGCAATGCTCTCCCGCACCCCCAGGCAATGCTCTCCCGCACCCCCAGGCAATGCTCTCCCGCACCCCCAGGCAATGCTCTCCCGCACCCCCAGGCAATGCTCTCCCGCACCCCCAGGCAATGCTCTCCCGCACCCCCAGGCAATGCTCTCCCGCACCCCCAGGCAATGCTCTCCCGCACCCCCAGGCAATGCTCTCCCGCACCCCCAGGCAATGCTCTCCCGCACCCCCAGGCAATGCTCTTCCCCCACCCCCAGGCAATGCTCTCCCCCACCCCCAGCCAATGCTCTCCCCCACCCCCAGCCACCGCGCTCCCCCACCCCCAGCCACCGCGCCCCCCACCCCCAGCCACCGCGCTCCCCCAGTCACCGCGCTCCCCCACCCCCAGCCACCGCGCTCCCCCACCCCCAGCCCCAGCCACCGCGCTCCCCCCACCCCCAGCCACCGCGCTCCCCCACCCCCAGCCACCGCGCTCCCCCACCCCCAGCCACCGCGCTCCCCCACCCCCAGCCACCGCGCTCCCCCACCCCAGCCACCGCGCTCCCCCACCCCAGCCACCGAGCTCCCCCACCCCAGCCACCGCGCTCCCCCAACCCCAGCCAGTGCTCTCCCCCCCTCCCTCCCCTCCCCCCCCCACCCCCAACACTCCCAGCCAGTGCTCTCTCCACCCCCCAGCCTGTGCCAGTTATCTCCCCCCTTGGAGTACACATCGCTGCTGGGGTGAGCAAAGGTAACTGCTCACCTCAGTGGTAAGAATGCAGCTTCTCTTTTGCACCGAGTGCATGTAGTAGAGAACCTGCGACTGAGGCACAGGAAATAATCCACAAAATGTAAATTGAAAGAGAAACAAATGGACTTTTGAAGATATTTTATTGATTGGGAATTGCGTCTTATTGTGTCTCACTGGTTTACACTGAAATAAAATAGCAAGTTTGATAATTATTAATTTTTAAAAATTATCACTAAAAAATATTTAAAATTTTCAAGTCTGAGGTGGATTGATAGATTGCTGTTAGGTGAGGGTATTTAAAGGTTATGAGGCAAAGAGAGGTAAGTTGAGATACATATATATGGATATATATATTATATATTATTGGACCCCTTCTCCGGAGAAAGCAATCCCTTCAAACAATACATGCTATGCGCAATTGGGTGCTGCTTTTCACCCAGAAAATACCTAGTCACCACACTTTACGGTGTATTCTGTGAAGCATTTTGAGACGTCTGAAAACGTGATAAGGCGCTATATCAAATGCAAGGATTATTTTATACATTATCTTATTATCGATCCGCCTCAGTCTTGAAACGAGAAAGTGTGTGTGATTGTCTGAAGGCGATGTTGTTGCTGCTGTTCTTGTCGAGCGAGTGAGTGAGTCAGGGACCGGAGTCGCTGATGCACACGTGTTCCATCAACTCCCGCACTGTGAAGAGACAAAAGACAATCTGCTCCGGTAATTGGAGTCACCGCGTTTGAACAGGCACCCAAACGCCCCCATGTCGTCAGCCCTACAGGTGGCCACGTACGCCAGGTCAGAGTAAGCGGATGGGCCGCGGTTAATAAGCCAGGGTTTGCTCCAGCCTGGGGTGGGGTGAGACAACAGGTTCACATACATGCCCAGGTCCACTCGGTCTTTCTTGTCGGTGGGGTGTGTGAACACCAGCCAGAATGGTTGGTTGTTGCTATGTGTGGGGCTCGGGCTGGGGCCGGGGAAACTAACCACGCTGCCTTGACAGCCATTATAACCCGTCTCCACCAGCTCTTGGGCCAGAGTGGGTTTGTGTAAACTGCCTGGCTCCAGGCTGACCACCTCGGCCCTCAGCCCCTGTTTCTTGATGCGAGTGTTGAGGTACAGCTGGGGGCTGGCGTCAGGCCTGGTGATCTCGGCAGCCTCGCACTCCAGTGTTTGGAGCTCGCTGACCAGCTCGCTCACCAGCCAGGTCTGCCCATGGTCTTCACTGTACAGGTAGAGGGAGTGGGGGTGAGTGTAGGTCGATTTGCCCATGCAATGGCTTTGTTGAATTAGGTAAGCGTACCTAACAGCGTACCACCAAGCGGCCACAGGCCATCTGTAAGCCATGCCCCTGCCCCACTGCGTGCGTGGCCCACTTCCCTGCGATGTGACCGGTTGAAATCTTGTCTCCAATGACGTCGTTGGTCAGGTCGACCAGCTCGCTCCACGTCACCCCGGCATCACTGCTCTTCACCATGCACAGCCTCGCTGCGTTCCTCCCGGTGAAGATCTGGGATCGCACGGTCAACGCCATTTTCTATGCAGGTGAAGAACAGGAACATGACTCGCTGGTCCCGGTCATACAGGGGACAAGGTCCCATAATAATAATCCCTCCAAAACCAAAAAACAATAATAAATTGGTCATTTTCAATCCACGACTGTTTGTGGGACATTGTTGTGCGCAAATGGCTGCCGCGTTCGCCCACAAAATTTACAGTCAATTCACTTTACAGTGTGTTCTGTGAAGCGCTTTGGGACGTCCTCCCGACGTGAAAAGCGCTATATCAAATGCAAGGATTATTATTATTATTATGGTCCGGCAGCCGAGCAGCAATGCCGTTTCCAATTCCACCACATCGTCCCACTGCAGAGAGAGAGAGAGAGAGACATGCATCCATCAACACCCAGAACTGAGCAGCCCCCATCCCTCACAGGAGGATTCAATGCATCCAGCCTGTTGCACCAGTTTATTGGACTTTGGCAGAACTTTTACTCCCAGTGCCCCCGAGGAGGGGCTGGTGTTGAGCAGATAAACAGGCAGCTGGGCAAATCCACTCAATCTCAGCCCTGATTAAGTGGAGTCCTGTATAGTGGTTAGAGCCCTCGCCTCGCAAGCGAGAGGAACCGGGTTCGATTCCGGGTGGTGTGAAACCGTAGACAAGTTTCCTTACTCCACACACCTCTGATTACCTCACAGTAAGTAGGAACCCGGTTGTTAGTTGATTTGAGGATCACGTTCTGCGTGTAATAATCACTTCAAGAAAAAAAATTGGTCACTCAATCCACGACTGTTTGTGGGTACCACTGCGCACAATTGGCTGCTGTGTTTCAGAGTAGTTAGAGCACTCGCTTTGCAAGTGAGAGACCTGAGTTCAATTCCACGTAGGGCGAAACCTTGGGCAAGTTTCCTTACTCCACACGCCTAATAATAATCCCTCCAAAAAAACAACATAGTAATAAATTGGTCATTTTCAATCCATGACTGTTTGTAGGACATTGCTGTGCGCAATTGGCTGCTGCGTTCGCCCACAAATATACAAATATACAGTCAATTAATTTTACAGTATATTCTGTGAAGTGCTTTGGGATGTCTAGAAGACGTGAAAAGCGCTATATCAAAATGCAAGGTTTATTATTATTATTCACCCACAAAATATACAGTCACTACACTTTACGGTACATTCTGTGAAGCACTTTGAGATGTCTCAACAACGTGATAAGGCGCTATGTCAACTGCAAGGATTCTTATATCTACCCCCGGAAAACGATCAGCCAATCGACTAACATCTGGGTTCCTACTTACAGCTCGATAAACAGGCGTGGGGGGAAAGCAAACTTGCCTGAGGCTTCTCCCCTGTGGGTTCACCCTTTGGGCGTTTTATTAAATATGAAGATTGTTTTACTACCTGAACAGCTTGGTTCTGAAGATGGCCTCTCCTCAACACCAGACCCCGCGCATCCACATCATTGGAACTCTTTTGCTTCTCGGCCATGGCGAGGAACGTTTTGGATTCTTCGATGTAGAGAAGCCATCATTTCAGGAACTGCACAGACACAGAGGGACAATTCAAAAGAGGAAACGAGTCCTGTAGCGTAGTGGTTAGCTCCCTCACAAGCATGAGGAGCTCAACTCCCCGGCTGGGGGAAACCTCAGGCAAGTTTCCTTACTCCACATGCCTGATTACCTGACAATAAGTAAGAACCCGATTGTTAGTCCATTCGCAGGTCGCTTTTCTGGGGTTAATAATCCCTTCCAAAAAAATAATTTAGTCACTCAATTTACGACTGTTTCTGGGACATTGTTGTGCACAATTGGCTGTGGTTTTTCACCACAAAATATACAGCCATTTTGCAATATATTCTGCAAAGCGCTTTAAGATGTTTTGAAGATGTGATAAGGCACTATATCAAATGCAAGGTTTATTAAAACATAAATACTATGGGTCAGGGAGGCGGCCCCTCACTCTGAAATCCTCAGAATCTCCCTTCCTAAAGTCTCCACATACAACTCCTCTACCTCAACCTGATGTTTCTGGGGCATTGTTGTGCACAATTGGCTATGGTGTTTCACCAACAAAATATACAGCCATTTTGCAATATATTCTGCGAAGGGCTTTGAGACGTTTTGAAGATATGATAAGGCTCTATATCAAATGCAAGGATTATTAAAACATCAATAGTGTGGCTGGTAGGCATCCCTCACTCTGAGATCCTCAGAATCTCCCTTCATAAAGCTCCACGTGCAACTCCTCTATCAAAACCTGATGTTAAACTCAGCCTCTCTGTGGACTGTTTCCCGGGGGAGAGACCACCAGCACAGACACGATGTGAGAGAGCAGGGAATGGGATCTCCAGTGGGGGAGTGAGTGCCAGCACAGACACGATGGGGAGAGAGCAGGGGAATGGGGTTAGAGTAGAGAGCTCCAGTGGGGGAGCGAGCGCCAGTACAGACACGATAGGGAGAGAGCAGGGGAATGAGGTTTGAGTAGAGATTTCCAGTGGGGGAGCGAGTGACCCTGGGGTGGGGGAGAGAGAGTGAACCACGGGGTGGGGGGCGGATGCGAGAGAGACCCTGGTGTTGGGGACAGAGACCCTGTGGGAGAGGGAGACCCTGGTGTCTAGGGATGGATGGGGAGAGAGACCCTGAAGCGGAAAGAGACCCTGGTGTGTGGAGGAGTGGGTGGGGAGAGAGTCCCTGGGGCGGAGAGAGACCCTGGTGTGCGGGGGAGTGGGTGGGCCGAAAGACCCTGGGTTGGGGAGAAAGTGAGAGTCCCCCAGGAGTGATAAGATAGAATCCCTGGTGATCGAGAGAGGGAGATCCCTCCCCACCAACATCCCGGCCTGAGCTCCTCATTATGTCGTGAGAATGTGATAAGATGCTATGTCAAATGCAAGGATTATTATTACAGAAATGGTGTGGCTCAGGCAGGCGTCCCCTCACTCTGAGATCCTCAGAATCTCCCTTTCTAACGTCCCCACGTGGAACTCCTCTACCTAAACCTGATGCTAAACTCAGCGTCTCCATGGACTAGTTCCCGGGGGAGTGAGTACCAGCCCAGACACGATGTGAGAGAGCAGGGAATGGGATTAGAGTAGAGAGCTCCAGTGGGGGAGCGACCACCAGCACAGACACGATGTGGAGAAGGCAGGGAATTTAAAAACCTGGTTTAAAGTCAGCACAAAAAGCACTTACCCTGTGTGGCTGGGAGGTTGTGGCCAGTGCACAGATCACTTCCCCACTCTGCTGCGGAACGCTCTACTGTCCTATTTTATACAGTGCAGGACTTGTGGAAGTTCCCTCTCAGTATCAACAACCAATAACAACAACATCAACAACAACAAGATTCCATTTATAGAGCGCCTTTCACGTCAGGAGGACGTCCCAAGGCGCTGCACAGTTGGGTCAGGACCCGAGCAGGGGGGAAATGGTCAGGGTGAGGGGAGGGAAGGGAGGGAGCGAGGAGGGGGATGAATGGTCAGGGTGAGAGGAGGGAAGGGAGGGAGCGAGGAGGGGGGAAATGGTCAGGGTGAGGGGAGGGAAGGGAGGGAGCGAGGAGGGGGGAAAATGGTCAGGGTGAGGGGAGGGAAGGGAGGGAGCGAGGAGGGGGGAAATGGTCAGGGCGAGGGGAGGGAAGGGAGGGAGCGAGGAGGGGGTAGAGAGTCGAGAGGGGAGCTGAAGGCTCGGTCAAAGAGAAAGGTTTTGAGACCGGCCTTGAAGGAGGAGAGGGAGGAAGCGGCGAAGGCACTGGGGGATAGAGTTCCGGAGCCTCGGGGCTGAGAGGCTGAAGGCCCGACCACCGATGGTGGTCGGGTAACAATCCTCGCAGGGGATATCGCATCTGCTTTTCGCCCACAAAATACATAGTTCATATTCCGTGAAGCACTTTGAGACATCTCAAAAGCGTGATAAGGCGCTATATCAAATGCAAGGATTATTATTTTATATATTATCTTATTATGGATCCGTCTCAGTCTTGAAACGAGAAAGTTGGTGTGATTGTCTGAAGGCGATGTTGTTGCTGCTGTTGTTCTTGTTGAGCGAGTGAGTGAGTCAGGGACCGGAGTCGCTGATGCCCACGTGTTCCATCATCTCCTGCACTGTGAAGAGACAGAAGACAATCTGCTCCCAGTAATTGGTGTCACCGCGTTCGTACAGGCACCCAAACGCCCCACAGGTGGCCACGTACGCCAGGTCAGAGTAAGCGGATGGGCCGCGGTTAATAAGCCAGGGTTTGCTCCAGCCTGGGGTGGGGCGAGACAACGGGTCCACATACACGCCCAGGTCCACTCGGTCTTTCTTGTCGGTGGGGTGTGTGAACACCAGCCAGAATGGTTGGTTGTTGCTACGTGTGGGGCTCGGGCTGGGGCCGGGGAAGCTAACCACGCTGCCTTGACAGCCATTATAACCCGTCTCCACCAGCTCTTGGGCCAGAGTGGGTTTGTGTAAACTGCCTGGCTCCAGGCTGACCACCTCGGCCCTCAGCCCCTGTTTCTTGATGCGAGTGTTGAGGTACAGCTGGGGGCTGGCGTCAGGCCTGGTGACCTCAGCAGCCTCGCACTCCAGTGTTTGGAGCTCGCTGACCAGCTCGCTCACCAGCCAGGTCTGCCCATGGTCTTCACTGTACAGGTAGAGGGCGTGGGGGTAAGTGAAGAGCCCCGTGAAGATCCAACAACTGTAGTAAATTAGATAAGCATAGGCGGGCACCACCAAGCGGCCACAGGCCATCTGTATGCCATGCCCCGGCCCCACTGCGTGCGTGGCCCACTTCCCTGCGATGTGACCGGTTGAAATCCTGTCTCCGATAACGTCGTTGGTCAGGTCGACCAGCTCACTCCACGTCACCCCGGCATCACTGCTCTTCACCATGCACAGCCTCGCTGCATTCCTCCCCGTGAAGATCTGGGATCCCTCGGTCACACCATTTTCTATGCAGGTGAAGAACAGGAACACGACTCGCTGGTCCCGGTCATACACGGGACAAGGTCCCATGGTCCGGTAGCCGGGCAGCAAGGCCTTTTCCAATTCCACCACATCGTCCCACTGTATAGAGAGAGAGATGCATCCATCAACACCCAGAACTGAGCAGCCCCCATCCCTCACAGGAGGAGGCCATTCAGCCCATCTAGCCTGTTGCACCAGTTTATTGGACTCTGGCAGATCTTCACGACCTGAAGATGTGGAAGGAGGATGGGTGGGGGCGTGGGGAGCGGTGAAGTGAAGGGGTTGAGGGAGGGATTTCCAAAATAGTGGCTGAAGCAACGGCCGCAGATGGTGGAGCTGAGGATTCGAGGGACGCGGAGGAGCCCGGACCCAGGATGGAGAGAGAGGAGGTTGGAGAGATGAGGTTTGCCAAGGAATGGAGGAATTTAAACACGAGAGTGAGGATCTTGGAGTTGATCCGCTGTGTGACAGGGAGCCAGTGGAGTTTGGCAAGGACCGGAGTAATCACGGTATGAAGTTTGGTGCGAAAGAGAATACGGGAGCGGAGTTTTGAATGAGCTGGATTTTGTCAATAGTGGAGGAGGAGAGACCGGAGGCGAGGGTGTTAGAGGAGTCCAGCCGAGAGGTAGCAAAGGCATGGACGAAGGTTTCGGCAGCTTTTGGGGTGAGGTATTGTTGGAGACGGGCAATATGGCAGAAGTGGAATTGGTGCTGGTCAGGGATCGGATGTGGAGGAAGAAGGAAAACTGTGGATCGAACCTGATGCCTAAACAGGCGTGTGAAGGAAGGCAAATCGCCTGAGGTTTCTCCCCTGTGGGTTGACGCTGTGAACGTTTTATTAAATACGAAGATTGTTTTACTACCTGAACATCTTGGTTCTGAAGATGGCCTCTCCTCAACACCAGACTCTGTGCATCCACATCCTCGTGAGTCCCTCGCTTCTCGGCCATGGCGAGGAACGTTTTGGTCTCTTCGATGTAGAGAAGCGAGGGGATGCGATACACCCAGGCTTTGCTTTCAAACAGGATGGTTTTATACGGTTCAGGAGACGCCATCGATACAGGAACTGCACAGACACAGAGGCACAATTCAGTAGAGGAAACTCAGTTGAGTCCTGTGAATTCAGTTGAGTCCTGTAGTGTAGTGGTTAGCTCCCTCGTAAGTGAGAGGACCTCTATTCCCCAGCAGGAAGAAATCTCAGGCAAGTTCCCTTACTCCACATCCCTGTTTACCTAGCAGTAAGTAGGAACTCGATTGTTAGTCGATTGGCAGATCCCTTTTCTGGGAGTTAATAATCCCTTCTAAAAAAATAATAATTTGGCCACTCAATTCACGACTCTTTCTGGGACATTGTTATGCACAATTGGCTGTGGTGTTTCACCACAAAATATGCAGTCATTTTACAATATATTCTGCAAAGCTCTTTGAGACGTCTTGAGGATGTGATAAGGCGCTATATCAAATGCAAGGATTTTTATTACAGAAATGGTGTGGCTCAGGTAGGTGTCCCCTCACTCTGAGATCCTCAGAATCTCCCTTCCTAAAGTCTCCGTGCAAATCCTCTACCTAAACGTGATGTTAAACTCAGCCTCTCCATGGACTAGTTCCCGGGGGAGCGAGCACCAGCCCAGACACGATATGGAAAGAGCAGGGAATGGGATTAGAGTAGAGAGCTCCAGTGGGGGAGCGACCACCAGCACAGACACGATAGGGAGAACGTAGGGATTTTGAAAACCTGATTTAAATTCAGCACAAAAAGCACTTACCCTGTGTGGCTGGGAGGTTGTGGCCAGTGCACAGATCAATCTTCCCCACTCTGCTGCGGAGCGCTCTGCTGTCCTCTCTTACACAGTGTAAGACTCCATACCTTGTGGAAATTCCCTCTCAGTATCAATAAACAATAATAATCTTTGCATGTGATAGTAGCTCCTTATCATGTGCATTGATAACCTGGGAACTTTCAACCCTGCACAACGCATATGCTTGTATAAATACAGATTAATATAAACACAAAGCAAACAACCTACACTTAGTGCAAATGCACAGTTCGAGTCCAACTTAACCAACCGCCTCCAGTTTATCTCTGCAAATTGTTTCTTCTCTTTCCCGGGCCAGGTCACCTGAGGGGTACCCCAGGGCTCTATCCTTGGCTCTTGTCATCGCCCAGAGGGAGCACATAGATAAGGAAAAGTTGCACATGTAAGCAGATGACACACAAATCTACTTTGCCTCCTCCGTACAAACTCCAAAGTTCTATCAGCTTGTTTGGCAGACAGCAAAGCTTGGATGATTGTAAACTTCCTACAGCTGAATGTGGACAAAACGGAAGCCTTACTCCTTTGGGGGAGGAATAATCCCTCCAAAACCAAAAACAATAATAAATTGGTCATTTTCAATCTACGACTGTTTGTGGGACATTGCTGTGCGCAATTGGCTGCCTCGTTCGCCCACAAATGTACAGTCAATTCACTTTGCAGTGTGTTCTGTGAAGCACTTTGGGACGTCCTCCCGACGTGAAAAGCGCTATATCAAATGCAAGGATTATTATTATTATTATTATTATATTATTGGCTCCCGTCAACGTTTTCACTCCTGCGGATCTAACCTCCTCAACCTCCCTGGGCTCTCTTTCACACTCACTGAATCAGTGTGCAATCTAGGCACCCGGTTTGACCCCCCAACTGTCCTTCCTCCCCCACATTCAGTCCCTGACCAGGACCGCCTTCTTGCATCTCCACTGCATTCTGTGCCTCCAACCGTACCTTACTCCAAATGCAGCCAAAACCCTCGTGCATGTGTTTGTCACCTCCCGCTTGGATTACTCAAATGCACTCCTCGCTGGTCTCCCCACCTCCATTATTCAAAAGATCATTCAGAACTCTGCTGCCCGCATACTGACCCGGACCAAACTCCCTACCCACAACTCACCAGTTCTGGCCCAGGCTCCACTGGCTGCTCTTTACTGAAAGGATCGACTTCAAGATCCTCACACTTGTGTTCAAACCCCTTCACTCTCTGGCACCTCCCTAACTCTCCGACGTCCTCTCTCCCCACTCCACCACCCGGCACCTCCGCTCGACCAGCACCGGCCTCCTGCTCGTCCCTCGCACCCTCCGCCCCACCATCAGAGGTTGTGCTTTCACCCACTATGCCCCGAAACTCTGGAACACTCTCCCGCAACCCCTCCAACTTGGTCCCTCTCACCTTTTTCAAGTCCCGCCTGAAGACCTTCCTCTTCGACCGTGCTTACGACCATGTATAGTTTCACTTTATAATGTGAACGTCTCTTATTTCAGCGTCAGTGATGATGTTTCTAAGCTGTCATTATCTGAGGCTGATCTGAGTGTGGGGATACACAAAAGGCCTGTACAGTACACAGCCCGGAGAGAGATGATACACAGCATCAGCCCAGGTGAATTCTCCCAGTTGTGTGAATAGTCTTATATTGCTTTCAATCCATCAAATTAAACATTAGCTACGGAGTCCTGTAGCTCAGTGGTTAGAGCACTCGCTTTGCAAGCGAGAGACCTGAGTTCAATTCCAGGCAGAGGGCGAAACCTTGGGCAAGTTTCCTTACTCCACACAGAGCCTAATAATAATCCCTCCAAAACCACAAACAATAATAAATTGGTCATTTTCAATCCACGACTGTTTGTGGGGCATTGCTGTGCGCGATTGGCTGCCGCGTTCGCCCACAAATATACAGTCAATTCACTTTACAGTGTGTTCTGTGAAGCGCTTTGGGACGTCCTCCCGACGTGAAAAGCGCTATATCAAATGCAAGGATTATTATTATTATTATTATTATTGTGAAATGTCACTGCAACCAGGGCTCTTTACTGCTGCAGTACCGCGTTACTGTCCGCAGGTGGCGCGGTGTGAGCGTTCTCACCAACAGCCGCTGCAGCCGCACGATCACCAGTGCCCTCTGCTGGTGTCCTGGCGGCGGTACACCATCGGTGCTGTCTATCCCGAACTCCAGCAAACTCATCCCGTGATGTGGATCCAATACAACACAAAGTTGCATTGGTAACATTTCACGTCGGAAGGGACTTCCCGAGGCTTTGGACCGTCAGGGATTTGGACCCGGGCGGGGCGGGCGGTGGGGGTTGGGGGGGGGGGCGGGTTAGGGGGTAGGGAGGGTGACCGAAGGCGCGGTCGAAGAGGAGGGTCTTGAGACGTGCCTTGAAGGAGGCAAGGGAGGGATCGAGGTGGAGGGAATGTGGGATGGAGTTTCAAAGGTTTGGGGGCAGATAGGTTGAAAGGCTGAACCGCCGATGGTGGAGGAAGCGGACAGGTTGACGGGGTCAGCAGGTCACAGAGGTAGGAGGAGGTTAAGGCCGTGGAGGGCCTTGAAGGCGAGGACGAGGATTTAGAATTCTATCCACTGGGGGATGGGTATCCAGTGGAGCCCGGGCGAGGGTGTGGGGTGATGGGGTCACAGAGCCTGGTGCGGGAGAGGACATGAGCTGCAGAGTTCTGGATCTGCAGCTTGTGGAGGGTAGCGTTGGGAAGGCTGACAAGCAGGGAGTTGGCGTAGTCAAGCCTAGATATGATGAACTCGTGAATGAGGGCTTCGATTGCCTGAGGGGTGAGGCAGTGGCCGACCCAAGCGATGTTGTGGAGATGGGGGAAGGCAGAGCGGGTCATGGCATGGATTTTGGGGAAGAAAAGACAGTTCAGGGTCAAACAAGATGCCAAGGTTCCTGACTGGCTCAGGGAGGTGGAGTGTGCATCCGTGGATGGTGATGCTGTCAACAACAAAACAGCAAAATTACCTTCTTAGGGCTCCTTTCACGTCGGGAGGACATCCCAAAGCGCTGAACAGTCAGGTGTTGGGGCCCGAGAATGGGGGAGGGGTGGTGTAGTCAGCGTCTGAGGTGAGAAGGTGCTGATGGGAGTGAATCAGGAGGGCCTCGGTCTTGTTGACGTTCAACTGGAGAAAGTTAGCTCTCATCCAGGACTTGATGTTTGACGGACATTCTGTCATGACAGCAGTGGTCCTGGGGTCGAGGGTGGAGGCAGAGAGATTGAGTTGTGTGTCATCCACATACATGTGGAAATTGACCCCATGTCTGTGGATAATGTCACCAAGAGGGAGCATATAGATATTGAAGGGGACGGGACCAAGGACAGAGCCCTGAGGAGCGCAGCATGAGACGTTGCGGGGGCGAGAGGAGAAGCTGTTTGTAGAGACAAAGTGGAGGTGGTGTGAGAGGTAGGTTTTGAACCAATCAAGGACAGAACCGTGAAGGTTGACGTGAGAGTTGAGGCGGTGGAGGAGGATAGAGCGGTCAACGGTATCGAAGGCACCAGAGAGGTCAAGGAAGACGAGAAGACAGAGGGAGCCCTAGTCACAGATGGACAGAATGTCATTTGTCACTTTGACCAGGGCTGTTTTTATGCTGTAGGCAGCACGGAAACCCGATTGAGGGGCTTGTATAGCGAGTGGTGAGAGAGGAAGGAATGCAGCTGGGAAGTAACGACTCGTTAAAAGATCTTGAAAAAGAAAGGGAAGTTGGAGATAATAATAATAATAATAATAATAATAATAATAATAATAATAATAATAATAATAATAATAATAATAATAATGCTTGCATTTGATATAACGCTTTTCACATCATCTCGACATTTCAAAGAGCTTCACAGAATAGACTGTAAAGTGAATTGGCCGTATATATGTGGGCGAAACGCGGCAGCCAATTGCGCACAGCAGCGTCCCACAAACAGTCGTGGATTGAAAATGACCAATTTATTATTGTTTTGTTTTTGGAGGTATTATTGTTAGACGTGTGGAGTGAGGAAACTTGCCCAAGGTTTCCCCCTGTCTGGAATAGAACCCAGGTGTCTCGCTTGCAAGGCGAGTGCTCTAACTACTGAGCTACAGGACTCCATGATGGGGCGATAATTGCACCGGAGGTCATGCTTTCAGCCACTATGCCCCGAGACTCTGGAGCACTCTCCGTCAATCCCTCTACCTTGTCCCCACCGCTTTTTCAAGTCCCGCCTGAAAACCTTCCTCTTCGACCGTGCTTATGACCCACCCCCTTGCCACCTACCCCACCCTACCCTGCGTGGAAAGCGCTATATAAGTGCAAGTTATTGTTGGGGCTATTGAGGGGCGCATTTTACTGCCAACCTACATCTTTTCACTTTGTTGATAGAAACTAAACATGAAGATTGTGAAGGAACACATGGTAGATTGTCGTATTTGATGTATCAGCTTTTACTCCGAGATTGTCTCAAACACACAGACAAGAGTCAGACGACACTGAGAGCGACAGAGAGAGAGAGAGAGAGAGACACACAGACAGGTGCCCGTAGACAGTCGGGGCCGGGGGGGTGGGTGGGGGAGGAAGGTTGGCGCAGTCACTCACCCACGAGTGAAGCCCATTTCCTGCTCGAGCTGCCCCCTCCCCCATCCCGCACCGCGCACACCTTCACTGTCCTTTGCAGGGGGTGAGGGGGAGAAGCATGGATTCCGTGAAAACATTTCAGGCGATTTTCCAGTGGCTCAGATAATGATCTACTGTAGCCGCCGGGCAACATAATCAGCCACCAGCACAGAAACAGCTAATGATCCCCCCTTCACAGCATTCACAGCATGAGGAGCCTGACACCCAGTGCGTGGCAGCACAATGTGACCAATTCTGTCTTGATCTGTGTGTGAAAGGCGCTCTATAAATGTCATTTTGTTGTTGTTGTTGTTGTGAAGCTCATGGCCAGCTCGGCTCTGCGCTAGCGTTGAGAGAATCCGACTTTCCATCCAGCGTGTGAGCTAATACTTTGTGAGCCAGGGATATGGGCTGCTATCTCTCTCTCACTCTCTCTCTCCAGCAATGAATGCCCAGTCTCACAGACCAGGGCTGCGTTCACTGAAATCTCCCAAATCACTTCAATATCTCTA